TAAAAACTCTTGTTTCAGTTGATTGCTAAGTTTAAAACAAAACAAAGTAGCAACAGCAACGGCGATCTACAGCCATACAAGCTTATGTAAATATATGTCTGCAGATTCAAATAAATATGTCCGTTGTATATATAAATGTTATAGTATATATCGTACATAATATGCTTACTATCGATATGTAAAAACTCAAGTGTAGTTTCATCAGTTTGGCAAGCAACAGTAACATAACGTACGTAATGCAATACAAATACCACAACATATATAGCATAGTGTTACAGGAACTTGGTAAGTGCCTGTTCCCCCCAGAATGAAATCATACTTGTTTAAAGAGATAAGAGAGATTTCTTTTTTGTTTGCGGCATTGTTCCTATTTTGTTCAATTTGAACATCATGGTATCACAAAACTCTATATAACTAACATGAATTTGCATAAAATTGTTGTTTTACCCACTTGCTCACTTTCATTTTCGAGAAAGGTAATAAGTATGGAGTATAATAAGCAGCCGTTGGATGGAAAGAAAAAATGAAAAAGGGTGTGAAACTATTTTTCTTGGCATGATAATGTAAGCAAACGCATGTATATAACAAGGAAGGTAAGTGTATGTGCAATTGTATATAAACGGTAATAATATGCATATATTTGCATATGCCCGATCAAAATGAAAGAAAAAACTCTACAGTAAGTTATAACGCAAACAAACAAAACAAAAAAATTTGCATAGATATCGATATGATATATATAAATATTTGATTCTCGTATTTATTTTGGACGTATATATTATCCGCCCCCCCAAAGATTTTGTAATTGTCAAACAAAACGCAATTAGTCAGCTCTAGGAAAACACTCCCGCGCTCGTATATTTAAAGGCTGTGAATGAAAACACTACTGATGCAGATCAATCAAATCGGAGTAATAGCGACTAAGGAAGATGGCTATAATTTCCTTAAAATACATGTATATATATAAATAAATTTGTGTATTTGACTCCCATTCCGAGAGAAACGTTTTCACTCCGGCCAAATGTGGCTTTTTTCTATTTAGTTGGCAGAGAGCTTTTATGCGAAATTTTCCAGTAGCACACAGTTTTCCTTGAAACGAGAATTTTCTGACCCCAAAAAAAATATATAACATATATGCGGCTGCTTCTGATCTAATCTGTGCGCTCCCTCTTCTGCCTTAAACGCTTAGGAAAACAAAAGGTGGTAGACAGTAAGAAGTATAATTTGCGCTGAAGGGAATAAAGCAAAGCGGTCACGGATGAGGCGATAAATGCAGCTAGCGCGCAGAACATTAGCGTAGGCAAAACGTGGTAAGAGAGTGCAAGCTGCTCAAGATAAAGGGAGATAGCTTTGTGGACAAAAAATAAATCAATAAAGTAAGATATGAAGCAGCCAGGGCAAAGAAGAGAAATGAAAGCAGTAGAGAGTAGCTTAGGCAAAAAGAGGTACTGATGCGAAGTATGTGTGCAAGGAATATGTATTAAAATAGGCAGGACGACCAAGGCGGAGAAATCCGTTCGCGTGATCTCTGATACTGTAGATGAAACCAATTAAACTAGTGCGGGCAGCACACAGTAAGGTAACGAAAGCACAATCGAAAACAATGATGATAGGCTTAAATAAGATAATGCAAAAGTGCCAAGTAAATTAAAATAGGAAACATAAACTCACTTCCTTCATCGTACATTATTCCGAGCATCGTAATGCATGAGTAGATGAGCATGAGTAGCCAAGACTCGTGACTACTAAATCAGTGTTCGCGGGTTCAAATCTGAAGGACAAGAGAACACATTTTAATCGCACTCAGTAAAAGCATAACCCCAAGTGCCCGATTGCGCGCTCACCCACTAGTCTATATTTCCGGAAAAATCTTTTTTATCAGACCTTATAAATTAGAAAAATTTGCTTTCAACAAACCAAAGCCAACAAGCACATCTGCTCATTAATGAACAAATTTCAGCGTTGATGCGTCATAAAAGTAATGGGAAAAGAAAATGTATTTTTGATATTCTGCGACCATAGCAAGGCGAAGTAATTCACATTTTTTCTTTTTGAAGCCTTAATCCATTTGTTTGCAATTGCAATGCATGTGCACTCTCATACATATGCATATAGTATTATAACACATAGATATATATGTGTAGGTTGACTGACTCAGTATGACTCTGCATCAAATAGCAGGCGACAGCTAAATATGGTCTTTTCCATATAATACAAAAACAAAACAAAAAAAACACACTCATATTTGACTTAGCTAGAAAATACTTATCAAAGCCCATTACCAACATGAATAATTCTGAACATCTAATAAACAACCAAACAAAATGTTGAAAGCAGTTTTTTGTACATTTTTTTTATAATTCTATGCATGTTGTATACGTGTATTGCTTGTGGGGATTTCATTGTTTATATTTTGACTTTAAAGGACATTTAGATGAATACACATCTAACATGAATTTTTTCTTTTTTTTTTTCAATTTCGACTTGAAATGCTTCACTTTCATTTCATTCGGTTGGTTGACTGCTGTGTGGATGGTTGGTTAACCCTTTTTCTAAAGGCTCCACGTTCGTTACATATATATGCGTACATTTAAAGCGAAAAGTAAACAATTTTTTTGAATAGATTCAAAATTACAGTGAAACATTTTCAACGAGCATTATTTTACGCATATATGTACAGTATATACTTATAAGTGCATAAAATCTATATGTATACATATATGTACGTACAGAATATATGTATACATGTCTGGTCTTTAGATTTATGGCAATTTCATTAGACAAATACAATAAACTCTTTTCATTAATTTTTTTTATAAAATAAAATATAAATTTGCATATTTTACTGCCCACACGTGTGTGTATTTTTTGTTCTTCAAATTTGATGCATAGTTCAACATCATCAACACATCAATAATGGCAGCAAACGACAGAACTTTTTGAAGCTAAATACAAAGTCATTAAAAAACAAATTTTGAAAACCCCCCATGACCTAAAAGTAGATGAGAGAGCAATATCTTTCTACACTATACTTAAATCTGGTCCAGGTAAATAGCCCTTTAAAATCTTTGGTTTGTATCGCTTCCCACGTAAGAACAACGAGCGAAAAAGTAGAAAGGGTCGATCAAATTAGAACGAAAGTTTTTCCATAATTAAGCCCTTCATTTATTTTATAGTATTCTTGTCAAGCTTTTCTCTGGAATAGCATCAAGGCTTCGGTAATGGCTTTGATAGCAAACGTATCCCTGAAAAACACAACAAAATTGATTGGAAATCTTACACCGATAGAAAATAAATATATAAAAAATGAAAGGTAACGAATATACACACATATATATGTATATAAATAGTTGTATTGACTTCTCCTTTAAATATTAAAATGTTTCTGCCTTGTTGGCAGACCGAACAGTATATGCCCTAACAACGTTTGGAAATTATCTAAATTTTTTTATCGAAATAATTCTCCTCGTATTGAGTTTTTGCAATGGTTCAGAGAATATGCGAAAATTGCGGATTTTAACTCTAACTACTTACGGGACACTTTTGCATTCCGTAAAGAAGATCTTAAGAGCTTAATTGCGTTAAAAATAGTTTTATTTTTTCTTTTAAGAAATGCTATCGCTCTCGTTGAAAAATTTTGTACTTTAAGAGGCCTATAACTTGTAAATCTTCCGCCATGACAAACGAGGAATACATAGAGATTCATACACACGTAAATATAGATTTTGATTGGTTCTTATGGAGCTTTCTGAAATTTTCATATACACATAGCTAAGATTGCGAACATGCTTTGAACAAAACTCAACACATAAGCATTATGGGCATAATATACCAAAATTGAATATAAGCTATTAGTATAAAACAGAGAAACACATCTAGTGCGTCAATATGTGCTGAAACGCGGCATATATTGAATTCATCTCGGTTTCCATGCCGGTCATAGCAAGATAGTCAGAATGTCGGTAATCCAATCTGATATACCGAACTATTATTACTCAACAATTTTCGTCAAGAAATTTTTAAAATGCCCAGTTGTTTTTCATAGCATAACTTATACAAAAGTAGCTATTATGTAAAGAGTGGTTGTGATGCGATCCAAACTTTTTTTAGTATGGGTCGTTCTTGCCTTCAAATACGTCAATGTACTGAAGCTCGACTAACATACAATACCGCGGCGGACAGACGTCAGATGGAGGGAAACGCTCATATCGAATCAGAACTTTTTTTAACCCTTTTCTTCTGAATCGATCAGTACAATAAAAGATGAATCCCATTTAAATCTTCTGGCTGTTATAAGCCTATGTAAATAAAGTACACTAAAAGTCTTATTATATCGTCTCTGTCAGCGATGCAGATAAAAAACACTCTAAATTTAATTTGAATCAAAAAAATTATATAAAAACTGGTAAGAAAATTTCTTGTTCCTAAGCGACGAATATAAAAAGCGTAAAAACATGCAAATTATAGAAGTTTGAGTTTTTCTTTTTTTTTTTTTTTGTTTGTTTATTTTATACAATAAATATCAAGGGAGAAAGTTTCATTCGTCAAGAGTCGAATATTACAAACCCACCACCTAAAGTGAGTAGATAAAAACCGAACAATTATTTTTGAACCGCAAGCATACCAGTGCGTCAATCGACATCTGCTGTAGACCTTACCCGTTGCAATATTTAATACTTTTTTTCAAACTCACTTAAGCTTTTAGCGAAAGTCGGATGTTTTTGAAAATTTGCGGAGCCGCTCCATAAATGTGTTTGCTAACGCAAGAACTTCAATAGCAGCTGAATAGACGAGCATCCAATTGATCTCATTTTGAAAGTCTTATGAAGAAGACGTATGAAATCTCCAAGACAATTACGAACGGAAGTAAAAACGAAACTACCTCTCATCCTTTGGTGGTGAGTAAAAAAAAAAAAAAATTAGTGTAACAAAGGATATTTACATAAAAATGCATTGAGATTATATATGAAATTCAAATGAAAGCAAAACTACTTCCCCACCTTAACGAGCTTTTACGAACACATTTCTTGCTGCGAAGGAATTTTTACTGTATTTTTAATGTTGTATGCTTCTTTTCTTATAATTTTGTTAGTTTCCTGTTGCCGTCTAGAGATGATAATGGTGGTAATTTGATGTTTGTGAGAGGGAGACACGCTTTGGTTTTCTTTCCTATGAAAGGAAGTTACAAAAAAAAGCACCACAGTGTAAGAAAAAAATTAAATGCTTTCACAGTAGAAACAGAATTTATTTTATTTTCATTTGCACAATATTTATTATATTTAGGCAGATTACTTTATTCTTTTGTAAATTTTCGTCAAACAATTTCCGTTTAGTTTTTATATATTTCTTGTTGCTCTTGTTAATTTATATATATTTTCGTTCTTTTTTTTTTGTTTAAACTACAAAATTGTCAAATAATCAATGTTTTCTTTGCAACTTTTATTGTTTATTTGCTTTATATACAGACCTACGTGTCATATATATACAATATATATACATATAAAATGTGTATATATAAATATACATATATAATACGAATTTGCAATATATATATATATATATATATATATACGCTGCCCAATATATTTTATACATATATGTATATGAATATAAAATAAACAAAACTCCTTTTAGAGGACGGAAAAGATATGACTAACAAGCAACCACTCTCGCCAATAACCGAAAATACTATGAGGTGAATTATCAACTATATCTCCCTATTTAAAAACAAAAAACATATGTGAAAATTCAAGAGAAGAAAATACGCTCATAACTTTATTGTGAATTATTCAAGTGGTGAAATGCAAATGACTTATATCGAGTATACACCGCTAATAATGAAAAAATAATAAGCCTGAATATAGACGGGAACGTATTTGCGGAAAATTATTTAAAATAATGGAAATATATAACAAATATTTTACATTTTATTTGGAAAAAGAAATTTCTCTACATCAAAATCTTTACTAAGCGCACAAATAATTTAAAACCACAAACGAAAAAACCCAACACAAAGAGATATTAAGATCTTATGATGAAAGCAAAACAAAAGAGTAATAAAAAGAAGGCATGAAACGAATTTTTTATACTCGCCGTCAGTAGTTCTTTATAAAACGCATAGTGCCAAACTTATAAGCTATGATAAAAAAAAAAAGCCAATAAATTAAGTATTTAAAATATTTAAAACTGTTTTGCGGATCGTCAATTATAACGTTGTTGAAAATAAGTAGTTCGAGTTTACAATTTTTATCAAGGGATTTTGAACAGTACCGGCGAGTAAGCTTATTAGATTAATTCTACGCATAAAATAAGAAAATAGGAGAATTCATAAATCTGAAAAATCTTAAGTTATCTACTTTGTACATCAAAAATCGTGGCGTAACAGTCAGAATAAAGATGAAAGATTCGTTGAATGAAAATGTGCAGAAGTTCAAGAGACCACAATGGCTACTAGAAAAAGGCAGCTAAGAATAGCTGCAAGAGTTTCGGCGAAAAGTGCACACGTTCTTTAACATTTCTTCGCCACTTAACTCAAATGTAGTGTCATCCTAAAACTTAAAAACTGCTTCTGTTAAATTTATACGGCAATCAGAAAAGGCAACTTACTGGGTTTGTCTTTTTATTGAACGGACTATGCACGTATGAGCTTACCCAAAGGAATTCCTTTGTTCATTGTGATCAAGAATACATAAATGATACAAATAAACTTAATATATGGTAATGGATATGAAAAAAAGAAGACTTCCTCCTCTTCCCTTCCCCCTACCAAGTTTATAATATAAACGCACAAAAAATCGAACACAATTATCTTTAAAAAAAATATTGGAAAACAGAAAACACATCAAGATTTCATTGGCAATAACAGGTATGACTCAAAGAAAAAAAAATTCAAACGTTTTCGTTCTTCCCGTTACTTAGATTCCCTCACATTTTTTATGCATAATAAAACCAATAATAACAACAAACTAAGCAAGCGTTGACAAATACAAACTTTTTACCGAATTCAGATATTCATGTGTGAGTAGCTTTTTTTCGATTTTTTTTCAGTCATTGCTTTGTTGTAAAATATTTTTACACACACTTCTCTTTATTCTAGTATATAAGAATTATGGATTTTTCTTAAATATTTTCTTTGTGATTTTATTTATTTTTTCCTATCAAATACACAATTTCTTTACATAATTTGTATACACTCATTCTTACATGTATTTTTATATTGCATACATGGAAATTTATCGAAAATAGCAGTAATGATGATTTCATTACATTTTTTTACTCGATGCAAGCAAATTTTTTTAACGTTTATCAATTATTTTATTCCTACCGACTTGTATTTTTTTTATAAAGTTCTAGTTAATAAATTATTTTTCCATTATTATTAAACATTATTTTGCAAAAGTGTAAGCTTTAAGCGCTGTTTTACCTTCTTTTCACGCGAACTTTAAAAAGATGTCTGTAGGACGTTAAAAAATTCTGGTATATGGAATTAACTCACATATATTTTTTTTTTGATATATTCACCATGCTCTAAAGCAATAGCTATTGTGAATAGATCTGCACGTTTGAAAGAAGAAGAAACAATATGCACAGTTATCATTCTATGGGCTCTGTCTTAATCTAAATACAACGGGGCTGTTTTCTGAGCACTGTAATTATGTCCTGAGTTGTATTTTCTAAAAAATGCTATTTTTATCAATTATTTGTTGAAAACATCTTAGTGGACTGCACTGCTAGATAATGTTAACGGAAGCGTTTGTCGTCAGCCATTAGTTAGGATAGCATTTTTGACATTTTACATCCGAAGTTAATACTGAAGACGAGTTGTTAATTTTTCAATGTATTTTTTGTTCGTTGTAATTATGCGTTTGTACAATCTTTTGTAATATTGCGTTATAACAATCTTTTACACTGAGTTATATTTAAATTATCAAATTATTGTGCAAAGGCTTGAAACGTACTTTAGATATAGAGGATGGATGTCACATAAAAAAGATAGGTAAGAAGCTTTTGATTATCTTAATTGTGGCTTAAGGAATTGCATAAAATATGCTCAGTACTCATATGCACATATGCACTATATTAAGTTAATATAACTTCTCTTGATTATGAAGAATATCTTCATATTCATATAAAAAGTTTTACGAAAATTTATTGACATATATAAAAATTTGGAAATATTCGGTGCAATCTGATAGAACGAAAACTAATTACATTTGCTATCTCATATTTGGGTTACTTTTTAAATATACACATTGTAGTGTGACTGCATATCGTTGCAGATGTGCGTCCCGTTGAAATGTGTCACAAATCAAAATAGTAAGCAAAGTTTATTAGCAAAATAAAACAACAAAAAGTATGAGATACTTCAAAACTTTTCGAACTGCACTTCCCAATAACCCAATATGTAAACAAATTTAAAGAAAGCAATCCAAACCTAAACGCCGCCGTTTACAATTACGCTGCGCACAGCATTAAGTAACTTGTCCATAAACTCAAGTAGGAAACCAAGAATCTAGAAAATAAGTATAAGTAAGAGATGATAGATAAAGAAGCAATCATTCGAGATACTGAATCACTACTGCAGCGTTTTATTCGCTTTATGGTAACCAGGAGAGTCCTCTAGCCGATAAGTTTGGCAAGATAAAGAGGAGTAAAGATTTGGCGTTCTGAAGTTGAACAGCTACTCTTGAGAAATCCTGCGTAGCGTCTATAAGAGGAGAATGCAAAAATACATCGACTGCATGTAGCTCCTATTTTAGTTTTACAACGTATATCCATAGAGCATGTAGACTTAAAAATGCAAAAATGAAATGGCCGCGATTTGGCACAACTTTATTAGAATAAGTAGAAACTGCGGGGTAATCACGTATCTAAATAAGGATATGACCTGTTAAATAAACCCTTGTCAAATCATGCAAAAGCGAAAGAGCTTACGTTTGGTATAAGCATTGGCTGTTTAGAGTTAGTGTTGGTTGTGTAGAGTTTCGTTTATAAGAGAAAACAGCGGTAAATTGAAAACAAAATAAATTCTAAACGAAATCATTCACTTGCAAACAGTTGAAACAAAACCAGAAAACTAAAAATTAATTGAACGGAAAAGTTTGAGTTAGTGTTATAATTCAGTTTTCATTTTTGTGCGGAAAAAGTAAGATATTGTTACAAAGAGAAAGTAATGAAGAAGAACAAAAGAAAGGAAATAAAAACGATATCAAATTTATAACAATTATACACGAGCATTGCCAGTATTCTGCGTTAAATAAGACTACCACCATACATCAACACCCCTCCAAAATCTTATTGTTATAAATTTTACAATTCGAAGCTTAGTAAATTCTTAAATGAACAAAATTTAGCCTTGGAAGGTGTTTTCGCGAAAAATCCATAACCGTTTTAACTACTTACCGCCATAACTTAGAATATTTAATATTTAGTTCAACCAATTCACTGTGCGTTGTGCCCGCAACGTATCGCTCTTTGTTGGACCGCTGAATGAGGATTTTGTAATTTCTCCCAAGAAATATACTTCACAATTGAAGTAGGAGAAGCTGGACTCCTGAGGTGCTTTGGAAGAATCTGCAGAAAGTAGACGTAAGAAGGAGCGCTATAATGTGCCAAACTCATCGTGAAAGATTGAATGGTTATTTTTTGTAATGTAATTTTGGGTGTAACAACCGCTGCTTGCTTGTGAACCAAGGGATTATGTTTCGGTAAGTTGAAACTTTCCAATTTGGAGCTTTTACCGAAGATAAACTAGGTCGGGCTGTACACAGCATTATTCAAATTCTGTCGGTCGTGACAATATTGGCATCAGATTCATCAAGTTGGATCTCCCAGATATTGTTTCGCCCTTGACTTATGTATTCAATCACGTAGTAACAACTTGCTCATTTCCCGAATGTTGGAAAATATCGAAGGTCATTGCCATTGGAAAAAAGGCATCCTCTATTCTTTCTGAAGACTTTCACCCGATTAGCATCCTTTCTGCTCTGTGAAAAGCTTTTAAAGGCCTGATAACTGATCAGATTGGATTGCATTTGAATATTAAGAACTTATTTAGTACTACTCAAACGGGTTTTAAGTCCAGGAAAAGTTCTAGAGGACATTCGTCCGAGGTACGATAAGGGTAATTTGACCATTGTCGTAATCTCTAAGGCCTTTGATATTGTTGACCATAACTTATTACTGCAAATACTAGAGATACATTCAAGATACATTGGGTTCTTGCAAATGTTTTGATCATGATTATTCCGATATAAGATGTAATTAACACAATTGAAAACGAAATTTTTTATAATATTATTTATTTATTTATTCTACTTACACTAGAAACTCAACTAAACAAATAACAGTCGAGTTCAATTGGCTCTTAATGCAAAACTTATATTAATTAATAATAAAATTTAGTATAAGTATAATAAAACAAATAAAAAGAAAAAAAAGAAAAAAAAAGCATGTACACTATCAGCATAGGGCGACACTTACAACCGGTCGCAAACATGTATAAGCCTGGCAACCGATAATAAATTGTCAATAATTTATTTTCGAAACGTAACGACTTTTTAAGGATAAAAGCTAGTTTAAATACGACATACATAAATCGTGCGTATTAAGCAATGTTGCTTTAATGGACTTTAAAGAGTCCGATAACGAGACTAAGTGGTAGACGTCATTTAGGTTCTTGCAAACGACTCTGAGCGGATTGAACAGCTCATAATTTAGGAAAGGAACATCAAAAAACAGAAGCGTGTAACACAGTCGGCGATTAACGAGAAGATTAACAAAAATTCACTAGTAAAAAGAAGAAATCCAGCATCTAGGAGAATTAACAAGAATTCACTGAGAAATCCAGCGAGTAAGAGGGTAACCACAAAAAACTTCAAAATAAAATGCAGTACTCTTTGCCAGCTTTGAAGATTTATGAACGAACGATTTGCTTAAGCTGCAAGAGTTTAATCTTCACCTTCAAGGAAAGACATTGATCAAGTATTGTCACTGAAGTGTTTCTTATATGTTATTATTAAATGTCTTTCTAAAGTAAAAGAGATCGTTCGCATTGTCGCATTAATCGCTGTTTGCAACTTATTTATTATATTACAATCAAGGCTCTGCGATGGGTAGGAATCAGTGTCACCAACATATAAAACAACGTGATAATCAGTTTTGCGAAATCAGAAAACAAATTTCAATACAAAACTAGACTTGGAACAGATCCTTGTGGAAGATCTGTATGAATAGATGGTAAATTGGAAAGTCCATCCAAAAGAAAAGTTTCGGAGTAATTCAACTTCACAACTCGAAAAACCAAGAGATAACATTTAAAAAATCAATCCATTATTCTAAACAACACAACATTCCTTTTAAAAATCAGAGAGTAGTAAAGTAAATGAGTTGGCGGTATAAGCGCTTTAATTGGCTGTGAAATATTATATTTATTTGTAAGATCGAATTGTAGACATTGGAATTGTCCAAAATAGTTTTTATTAATTCAACTTTGATAAGCTTTTCAAAATCTTGCGGAGAAAATTGAAAAAATATTAGTCACCATCCCATCATTTTTTCACAATCTTAACAAATTGTTTTCTATTTATGCTTGGAAAATCAATCATTCAGAGCGTTATCGAGTGCGTTCACCAGCCTATATTTAGCGAACAAAATATCGAACTTCTACTTCTAGCGTTAAATGGTAGATAAATTTGTTTTTCTTTTTATACCTGTCGTTGAAGGTTTCCGTATCAGTGTATTCGTCTGTGTGGTGGTAAAAATGAATATATCGGTTTCAAATATGCAAATACATTAAAAGTTCTGGCACGCAACGTGGTATGGAGAATGGACAAGTTGGTCAATGTGTATTATTACTAATAAACTACAACACGATATGCCATCAAAACTCTTGCGTATAATTCTAAAAAATTCGAAAAACTCGGTCCAATATTACATAGTATGGAAATTTCATTTATTTGTTCATGTTTTTTCGTCTTAATTTTCTAATTTTGCATTCATTAATATTTTTACTTACAATTATCTTTCGTTTTACATACTAATCCTGGCAGAGCTGTTTATTACAAAATTAGAATAACTATTTACAGAAAATTATTTACAAAATGACGTGACGAGTTAGGCTTCCGTAATCGTGTTTGGCATATCAAAAACAAATGCAACGTTACCATTAAGAAAGTGTGTCTCTTAATAAATAGGAATTCGATATAGTGAAAGTTTAAATAAAATTCAATTATGCTATAGGTGCTTGCCTATACTCTGATCATTTTTCACTTGAAAAAGCCAATTATTGATAAAAATTGGTACAATAAATATTAATCAAAATAGTTTCCATAATTTTCTACAATTTCTTCTATCTCTCTGACAGTATGGCGATACCGCCCTGAAAGGACTATATTGGTTTGGCAACGATCCAATCATCGATTCATTTTCGAACTTCTTCAGTCGCATGCCAGCCCAGCTCATTATCATTTTCACCAACATATGCCCTGCAAGAATCTATTGTACGGCGCACTTACCCAGATTAAAATTTTTCTAATATACTAAACAAACGATGAAAACGATGTTAACTTTCCATGGAAATATATATACTAAACAGATTCTATCTCTAAAGTTCACCGAACTAAAATCGATCCTAATACATCAACTATTCAAGCAAAATGTGATAAAAGTAACATTACATAAATAAGTTATAGGCAGATTTATAATTGAAATTGTCCAAGTTGTAAGTATTTATATCTATATATAAATTTCCCTCATTTGTGTGAAGTACATGTTTCATTTCTAAAGGACAGCTTTTTTGAAGTGTTTCGGATTTTACAAATCAATTAAATTATGTTTATGTTTTCTGTGATTAAAGTGCAAATTCTTTTGTTTTATTAAACGTGTTACTCTTACCAGAGACAACGAAATACATAGATGTTCCAATACTTTGTTCCAATGTTTTGTCCAAAATTAGACTTGTATACCAAAACCGAAGTTCGCTCATTTGCTTACTCTCTAAAGTAACAAAATTCGAAGTACAAATATATTGCAACAAGTGGTACTCAAAAAACAAAATAATGGAATTAGCAAAAAAAAAAAAAATTAACCTGGCATAGCTTAATTGAAATATTTGATTACAATACGATATTGAACCATATAAGTCTATTTTTAGGAACTCCACACCATATACCGATTCACCTAAAGAGTAAATCTAAGTCTAATTTATAATATATTTTTTTTAAATAACGTCAGTTTTAGTCATTGGATCACCTCTGGCATAAGGACTAACAAAAAAGAATGCTTTTACATACAAATAAATGAAGAATTTTATTACATAAGAGTTGAAAGGTGTTTAATGTTCGAGCTTGCTTGACTATAATTTTTGCACTTACTTTTTTATATATTAGCGTTTTGTCAAAATTTAAATGTTTTTTTACTATTTTTCTGAAAGCAATCTGCTATTCATATTTTATTAATACAACCTGCACGTTCATTCATCAATATAAGTCCCTGTGTTGCAGAATATATAAAATATGTAACAGCGAAAACTTGTTAAGACAGACTACCCCTTTTTCATATCACTCGAAGCTTGTCTAAAGACTTTCTGAGAATATTAGAACCGAGAAAAATGCAATTGAAAAGCAACAAAAGAACAGCAATAGCGCCAAATGTATGCCAATTTTTGATGAAAATCCGTGTTTCAAAATTTTCGTTAGACAAATTTAAAAGATATGCTATGTTCAACTATGATCCAATCATTAGATTAAATAGAAATTCTCGAAATAAACAAGAAAAATCAAGCAAGAAGCAAACGAGGTTAATAAAGTGCGTTCGGAAACACTGTTTTCGGCATTTTTATTAATTGTCTGCTTAATAATTTATTTAATTAATTTTGTGCAATTTTGACATTTTTTAATACTTAACTTTAAGCAGAGGTTTTTTTTTTATAGATTTTTCCTTCGTTACGTACATCATATACATTGTATGAATTTCTAACATTCGTTGATTTCTTTACAATTACAGTGCTATAGGGATAAGCATATAAATCATATTATTAAATAAGTATATAAATATTACATGTAAATTTACTCTTTCTACGACAAAACTAAAACTCAAACTAAAAATTGTGAGAAAAATTTTACAAAATATTATTTTCAACAAAATATTTTAAAAATATTTGAAGTTTTTGTCCAAACTTAGGGTTACTGAAAATAATGCGTCTTTTGTTAATAGCTTCCTCGGTATCGGTAATGAAATCCTCTGGATCGGTTAATTCTGAATGTTCATTGATCAAAATTGGCAAAATACAAGTTGCTGTAGCCAAACCTGTGCAAAATGTTTTATAAAATATATATTCTTTTATTTCTTTTTAACACATATTATATACCATGTGAGCCTTTACTCATAATTTCTAGTTTAATATCCTTTTCGTTGGGTATTCGCCCTTGATAGTTAAATTTTCTTAAAAAATTAGACAATATTAACTGATAAACCATTATTAAATCTTCGAAATGATGCTGGAAAACTTCCAATTGCCACGAAGAGAATATGAAATAATTCCAATCAATTCCAGGAGAACCGTAGAATCCTTCCTGAAAGTCAATCTTTAAAAATAGTTTAAGTAAGAATGGGATATATTTGTAATTTCTAACTGTCAACTACACCCAACTCTTTTTCTACACAATAGATGCGTTTCTTAGAAATCTATGCAAAAAAAAATCGCGTAAAAAAATATATACAACTTACGGTTATTTTGGTATTAACATTTTGGCAATAACGTGTAAGACGAAAAATTTCCAAAAATACCAGAAAATCGTGTAAAAGAAGAAGTAATAATGATATCCATATTACATTTTATAAAACCAAAAAAAATTCATTTTTGTAATAAAAATAAATTAAAAGTAGTGTGCAATGAAAATGCAGTCCATAAGTACAACACTCAAAAATTTAAATAAATATCAATTTACCAACTCTAACTAACACATGTGTGGAACTGACTTTTGATCACAGTATTTCCTCAATTATATTTTCCTGCTGTGTACATAAGTTAAAATTTTTTTTGATACCATGCTACAATAGCATGTTTTTCTCATTGGTGAACCGTGTCATTTCAAAATCGTGTACAAAAAGGACAGTGTAAGAGAGAGTTGGGTATATAAGAATAGTTAACAACGTATGAATAGACTATATATGTCAGAACTCTTAGATGAAGAAATGCGTAGAAAACATGCAACATATAGTCAATCAGCTCGTTCACGACTATCTTCACGCTATATTTTTGTAATTTGACAAATTTTACCACAAATATAATTAAACCACATCTGCCTATTACGGACGCATATACTTTTGTGTGATTCTCCGTCGCTCGATATCGATGGTCGTACATCTAAGGTATTTTATAGCACTTTTTTTGGAATTTTTGGGTGAAATTTTTTCACTTTTTAAGAAACGCGACACATATATAACTTCACTTTATGTATTTTGCGATTGATAACAGATATCCATCTAAAATTTAGTATAAATGCCTTGTTGCTTGCTTAGCGGATGAACACTCGTACTTTTTCGCTAATCTAAAGGATTAAATACAAAAGATCCAAGTTTTTCATATTAAACTTACAAACAAAACATCCTCATTGTCCTTGGCGTTATTAAACATAATATTATTTATCCACAAATCTCCATGATTTAGTACCAACAAGCGATCTTCTAAATTCCGACTGTAGACGCCAATCATTTTGTTTATGATCTGTTCACTAAAGTTTTTTAACTTCGACACGTATTGCTTAAGTTCGGTGCTATTTTCGCAATATTCAATCGTGGATAGTATAGCCTTTTTGTACATATCATGAAGAGGTGACGGATTTTCCGAAATGTTAGCCGATAAATGATAACGGAATATATCTGGATTCTGATGTGAATATATTTGAAAAATAAAAATTAGTATTTCCAAGTTTGTTTTTTTTTTTTAATTCAACTAACCTTCTTATATAAAACCATACTAAGAGCATGAAATTTGGCCAATTTTTGTATGACCAAATGGCATTGATTTAAATCTAATCCCTCACGTACATCTTTAATGTTATATCCTTTTAATTTCAGATTTTCCATTACTATAACGCGATCATCAATGTAATTAACCCTTGAATGTTAATAAAAATTTATAAAATTAAATTTCAAATCAATCAACTGACTACCTTGGTTGCAAAAAACAATTTTCGTTTACGGAATTTAAAAGTTTCTCGAATTCCTCACTAATTACGGCATAATACTGCTTTTCACGTTGATATATATCAAAGTCATCTTCCAACTGAGCCATTAACTCATTTTCCAATTTTGACTTAACTATAAAAGCAGCCAACTGAGTGTGATTGCTTGCAGTTTTGAGGGTATATTCGACACGTAGCGAGTAAAGAACACTGAAATAATTTTCACCCTTCACTGTGGCTGGTGTAAGACAAAAGTTTTTAATTTCCTGTAGTTGATCCCCAGTGTATTTGTTCATTACGGCAGTTACATACTGGAGATCAAACCATCGGGGTCCTTGAAAGGAAGTTTCGGGGGTCATATTGCTGGCACAAAAATAAAAAAAGCAACAAATTCACAATCGTTAACAGCAAGTTGGAAAATGGAACGTTGGTGTCGTCAATAGGTTATCGTAATAGGTTACTGATATGCATTTAGCAGAATAAATTAAAAAATTTTGCTGAAGAATATGAATGCTCACATTTAAGAAGAGTCTTTGCGAGTTTTATATCTTTGTTTGATTCTTTATGTATAAAATTCGCACGAACGCAATCTCAGATATGCTCTCCTTATTGTTTTTGTCAAAAAAAGACGGTGGATATACTAAATTTCAAAATTGATCTAACTAATTCCTACCTAGTATGTAGTGATAATAGAATCATAAAAAGTAAGTCTTTGTCCATTGGCCAATGAAAATAGACGAAGAATTACTAGATGTTTGCAATTAGATAAAGTTTCCTACATTTAGACCAGGTTAGTGTCCCCATGGCAAGCATAACTCTACATGAGGGCGGCGTGCAATTTCACTTAACCTATATATCTATATATATAAACAAAGATTCGTACTAAGCGAAGTGGTGTAGGGTATATGAAAGTCGACCTTTTATGACTATATTGCTCTTCCTTATTTTTCAAGTCCGTTTCCGATCAATAGCAAATTCCCGTCGTTAATTTCTGTCTGCTTTATATAAAAGATTAATAAGGAAATGTTTTTTCGTTTTCTTTCGTTTCTTTTTAAAGTGCACTGGTCCTTCACCCAGTTGTTCCTTCATTTTTACGAACAAACAAGTAAGAAAATTGTATTCGTTGTGACCGAATCTTTTATACCCATTGCCTTTATCCTAAAAAAGACAAAAAAGTGAAAGAACTAAATTTTCACGCTCTATAACGTGGACTTGGGCAAGGCAGATTTTTTGTGGTACATATTCTTTTGTAAATTTTTAGGCGATAACTTTATTTTTGCGGGCGTGACAATTTTTATCGCAAACACTAAACAGTTTGGCAGACGGATATATTTTTCCCTTTATTTACACGTACTACAGCATTACCCATAGAATATATAAGTTCAAATTTTTGCACATTTACTCGTTTCGTAATGACTTACAATGTTTCACAGTGACCAGCAACCTAAAATAAGGTTTTTTTGACAATTTTTTTTTGAATGGAAGACAACATGGTAGAACACTAATATTTGACAAATTAACTAAGAATTACAAAAAAAAGTTGTTTTGGTAAAATGTTAAAACACGGTAACAATTCATCGCTAATCATCTTCACCTCGAAGGGCTCATTCAAAGAAATATTGGTTTTAGATGATTGGCAAGTATCTGAATGGTAGAGTCCAATTCTCGACTGAAAAAGGATATTCTTTTATTAATAAAAAATATTTAGATTAACTTATCGAAAATATTCTACATCGTTTTTTTGAAAATGTTCATCGTATTTTATACCCTGCACCACTTATGGTGTGGACATATGTAACATGCAGAAGGGCTTAAGATAGATCCACCGTTTCTTCTACCGATTGTTTCAGAATTATTTTCAAAATTATTTTCCCGATCGATCTAAGTCTGCCCGCCCGTCTGTCTGCCTCTCAGTCTAATAGTTATGTTATTTTATGTTTAAGCTGAGGATCGCAGTTTCTGAGATATTTTGGTAAAATTTAGTACAGGGACGCTTTAATGTTCTTATTTGTTAACCATAAATTTTATTTCTTTCATATAAATAAATTATAATAATGAATATATAGCGTTTGTCGTTTCCAACAATTGTGTTTTGAGAAAAGCGCTATTTAAAGTTTCAAGCCGTACAATTACACGATAGGTTTTTGTGAATTTTAAAAACGCCTTATTTCCCAAGTCCATTTTAATTTTTGCAACGGCCACTTGTATATATACATACAGTACGTAATTTCAGGTTTGATTCATAGAGTATAGAGAAGAGCATAGTGACTATAGTAGTAGTAGTATTTGTTTTAATTAGAGATCCACTGTAGTTGATAGGAATCGTAATAACATGAATAATTAAACATGCACCAAATATTAATTTTAATAACAGTGAAGCAATCACAATTTAAGCTTAAACGATATTGTGCATATGAGCATGTCCTCACACGGTTTATGGTTTCATATGGTTTTCTTTTTTCATGTTTGTAAATACGTGTATCCTGAAAATTCGCCAGAATATCTTTTTCCAATCTAGCGCTAGTTTGCTATAATTGCCTCAATTTCAATAATATACTTGAGCTTTACCCGTAAGCAAACATCTTATACATTAAAAGATGACCCAGATTCGCAAAATTGTTAATATATCAAACTAACTCTATCATTTAAAAAAAAAAAAAAGAAAAGAAATTCATAGCTTATTATATTATGAACGTATAATAAATTTCAAGGTAAAAGAAATTTAAGAATCTAATCCACACACACACACACAAACACACAATTTTTGTATACGTATCATCAAACAATTAGCATAACAATGAGAAACCGTATCATCATTTCAAAACATCATTTAAAACTTAAGCTTTATCTTATATTATTTTTAAAACCTCGATTTACCGTCGTTTACTCTATACGGAAACTATCGCAAACGCTTGCCTTCTTTATTAAGCAAAAGTCGATTAAACACTGTCTGAGCATGAATTGCTAGAGAAAATTCATTCTTCATTAATAGTTATAAATGATTTAAATTTTCACGCTCATTTTTATTCTCTCATGTAAACATAAATACCTGGATAAAAATAAGAAAAATACAAACAATTAAAATGTGCTTAGCAATATTAAAAAAGTTTGCCTAAACTCAGACTTGAGATAATTGAATTATTATTCAATAATTAAATTGTTTATTTATTAGTTTATATGCTGCACAGCACTGCAGAGATCCAAAGATGCCGAAAAGTGATTTTCGCTTAATATGCTTTTTATGATTCCATCATACAATTAGAGAGTGGACTAATCAATCTAAAATTTACGGTTTTGGCGCTAAGCGGGGGGAACGTCCAGATTAATCGATGAAACTAACGGCTAAAAAGTGTAAGAAATGTACAAAGCAGATTCATTTGCCGCATAATTCGTCAAACGTTCAAAGATGATGAAGATGATTAAAGCAAAAAGAAGAAAATATATAACCCGCCAAACGTTGAACGAAGCACCTTTGTTTTATGAAATTTAATTGACTGTAAGTGCAATACCAAGGATTTCTTATATCGTACCTAATAGGGAATAGAATAAATACCATTCAACAAGAGGTAAACTAAATATTCATATTCTCATCTGGTGAAGCCTTATGGAGTTTCTTGAACCTGCGGTAACAATAGTTGTTGGAGAAAAAAATCCACAATGTGCAGTATGCAGATAGATCGGTGAAGAATACTCTTTAAAACGAATGAAAATCTGCAAAGCTCTTTAGATATGACATTTACTCCGATTGAGGTAGAAAAATTGATCGGTTTCTTTTCGGTTCCTGTAACGGATACCTTTGCAACAATTATAAATTTTATTCCGCTTGACATGAATCGTTGACAGCCATCACTTCCTTCAATAGATACACATTTCGAACTTCATTTCACATGAATATGAACTTACTTTAAATGAAAATATTTTAAGTTAAACTTTCATGTATTGTGTGGGTACTTGTTTGTCAATTACACCCCTTTTTTAACCGATTTTTGATTTATTTTCCAGAAAGCTAGCATTCCCTAGATAACGTGTCAAATGTTTCTGATCAACAAAATCACATGTTTAAAAAAATATCTTGAAATTCTATATATTTTTTATTTTAGGTACAGTTGTCAAATATCAGGCATTATTTGCCGTAAACAATATTTAAATCCTAGCAGGATCAAATTATTTGCTTATTATTTAAGAGCTCATTGGAACAAATGGTCAAAATAAGCCGGTTTCTTCGGTCCCGTCCCACTTCACGCCCAAATAATATATTTAACCAAAAAGGCAATTATGCGAAGAAGAAGGCAACATGTAAATAGTACAAAGCCAAATAATCTAAGATGATTGCGCATAATTTAAATTTAAATATTAAAACACGTATTTTGATCAGCGACATCTATTGGTGAAAATGACAAACATAATAATTAAATTCGATTATTTTGATCCTTTTCTACATAAAATAACAGTTTTCCATTCAGTACAATCGAATCATTCAGTGCAGACAGACGCCAAACATGGAACGCTGAAAATTGCACTTTCAATATTCATTACTTTTATTTTTTGATTTGAAAATATCTACCGGCGGAACCCATCAAACAATTTTAGAAGCTGGTGATGCTGTTCCATCCATGCGGTAATTTCGATAAAGTCCCAGAAAAGTTCGAAAACAATAAATTGCAAGATTTATAGGATGAAAGCCCAGCTCAAATTCCAAAAAAATTGTCAAGCACCTTAGCAGGTAGTAAACTTCGTTTACATGCGAGGGAAAAGATCCAAAAAGAGGGAAAAGGGCTACCATAGGAAGTGACTGAACGTTTCGTTTCGAAGCTCTTCAACATCGTGGTTTCATTGCTTGCCAGTCAAAAAAAAAAGATTTATTTGTGATATATGGTGAATGGCGACGAAGAGTGGGCCTGCTATGACAATCCTAAAAGCAAACAGTAATGGTTTAGTTCAGGAGGCCCATACAGATCGACCCCGAAGTGGAATATTCACGGCCATAAAATTCTGATGTGTATATGAGGTGGTCGTTAAGGTATAGTGTATTAAGAGTTGTTAAAACCGTATGAAACTGTCAGTACAGATGTCTACGGATGCTAATTGAACAAATTGAACGATGTATTGTTGCAAAAAAGACCAGTAATAGCGGTTAATAAACGCAACATTATCCTCTTGCATGACATCGCTCAGCCACACGTTGCAACTGTTGTTAAAAATACACTCCTACCGCTCCAATGGAAAGTTCTGTCGCACCCCAAAATACTTCTCACACATAGCATCTTTTGATTACCGCTTATTCAAACCAATATGGCGTCGGTTGGCTTGCAACTGGTTTCCAAATGCTAGAGAAGTGCGAAAGTGGGTCAATGATTGCATAACTGCCAAACCAAGATCGTTCTTTCGTCTCCGACTTACCAGAAAGATAGGAAAAAGTTGGAAATAATATCTATTGAAATAATATTGTTATTGGAAATAATATATATTGTGAAAATGATGGAAAATAATATGTATTGTACTAATTTTTCTCAATATTGTACTAATTTTTTTTCAGCGAAACATGATCAGAATACAGGCAAGCACCTATTATATATTCAGTGTTCAATTCGCTCCAAAAAGGAAGATAAGATGCTCTGTCAGCTTTTATCAAAAACATTTTTTTGTTTTAAAGTTTTATAAAATAACGTTAGTAAAACTGCATTAGAAAAAAAAGTTTTATTTGCACGAGAGAAACAAAAAAATATTAAGTTATATTAAATTTATTTATTTAATCAAATTATGAATAAACCAAGTGTACAAACATTTCGAAAAAAACTAATTTTAAATTCAAATAATTTAATTTTATTCAATTTCGCCCTTATATACACCAAATGATGCCGCAAACGTTTTAGACAGAATTTCTTCACGTGAAGATTTCCAAGATCTTATAGTATTGCAAAGAAACAATCGTAGTTGGAAGAAAGACAAAAATTAATAAAAGCATAAGGATAATTGAAAAGTTCAGAGAAAATATGTTATTATACAATACGTATGTGTATCTTACACCTAGTATATGTAGAGGCTTTTTATGAAATTCGTTCCTCTTAGCTAGTCAATCAATATGGAGTATCTTCTACCGCATTAATCCTATCCAGACTTTGGTACTCACTCAGCTGCTTGTAGATGTATTCTTGTTAACCAGCGTATGATGGTACGATCCAGAAGAAAAAGGAAGTGTATTGTTCTTCCCCAACATAGCTAAGATCATAGACTTCTTCATGATCTCTCGACACTGCGGTTGTTCGCAGGATTTATTATAGAACTGCTTCTATTTGGTTTCATCATACAACTTCTTCTTCTTCAATTTTAGGAAATAAATTCTAAAATTAAAAAAGGTAGTATGAGCATTACCAACCAAGGCTGTCGGCCCTCCTTTTTTCAAAAAGTGCACTTTATTGTTGCTCTAGTGGCTTTAACAAAATTCAACATTTTATCGCTATTACGCTTTCCAAGAACTCTGAATATGTCCATAGATTTATACGCTCCGAAAACGAGCTTTCGAACATTGGAAAGGTTTCGGTATTTACAAGCTATATGCTTAATCTTAAAAATTTGGTCACAATTGCAAGTTGGAAAAGTAGATTTCTTAAGGCAGGCGCATGTATGCATGGTACGACTGACATTTTTTTTACGATCGACAAACTGTCTGCGACGATAATCGTTTTATTTTGCGACCAAGGTTTGTGGTTTGAAGAATAAGTGTAGCTTATGTTGACGGGCTGTCGCGCGAGATATTGTTAACTTAAACTTATCCTGCAGCATCTACTAGGCTTTTCTCTATGATTAATTAAGCTGATATTTTGATGTGCATTCCTCAGTTTTCAGTTTTAGGATTTCATGCATTTGTAAATAACGTGGGAATTGTTTATCTAAGGCCGTGTGCTGGTCAGTGCAATTGATGCAGAAGGAGTGTAAGCCGCAATTAGCACAAGACGGTACATTCTTGCATCTTTTTAAAGTATAACCAAGGCGTTGGCAGTTCTTATACCTCATGGGATTTGGGATGTAGTCTAAAACTTTGCATTTGTACCGAGGAACATCAACGCTTTGTAGTGGACAACACCAATCAAAAATGATGGTATTGCCCAATGTAGCGGAACGAGTTTTTCCATCAATAGGTAGTTTAGCGAGTTTATAAATTTAAGTTACACCTTGACTACCCATTCCACGAACTAACCCCTCTTTGGGCACATGTTTCAAACGTGAGGCATAAATTAACAGAATTAAGTGTAGTGCACAGTTTAGAAGAAATCGGCCGCAAACTAGCTGATGATTTTTACTTTGAGATAGCCTCCGTCGTGGGCGGATCACCGGCGACAATAAGCACCTCGGTCCTCCACGTGAATTAAAGTAAGACGCTATCCCATCTAGAACTTTTTTACTGAAAATTATAGGTATATTACTTTGTTAGGGTCAGTGGTAGAAATTACAATATATTTTTTATTAATTGGAGGTTCATTAATGATTGGCAGCACCGAAAATTTAGTAAACTATTTGTCGAACAAAAAAGTTCAATTTCACAACTACCAAAATAATTTCATCAAAGCCGGTCTTGACAAGCTGGTGTTTAAAGTGCGCCATATTTTCAACATACATTGTAGATTTGTTAAATATCCGCTACCAATGGAGACCTACCACCTAGTGCAGATAATAAAAAAATTTACGATTGGAAATACTTCAATCTTGCAAAGTTGAAGGTCGTTTTAAAACCAAAGAAATCTCCGAGTGTAATCGACGTCAAGATTTTGGACACAGGACAGCGTGTTGTATAAAGCATGTCAAATAAGTTAAACCTGGCTCAGATCATTTAGCTAAAAATACTGCACTAAAAGCGACGATAGCCCATCAAAATGTGTTGATTGTCTGCATCCAGGCAGTAGGTGCTTAGCCAGAAACTTCAAACCCTACTTCAGATCAGCGCAGGGTAAGCATAATAATAATTATTCCGCCAATCGTTAAGAATTCACTTCGGTTAGTAATCCTCCTAATTGCTAATACGCCGACCTATTGGGAAATCCTAATTCTTTTTCAAATATTAAGGATTGGAATAAAAAGCAAGTTGAGTTTGCGAACACTCTTAGCAATATGACGACGATCTCAATCTCCAAAGTAAGCAAGTAAGTCTCTGAACCGCTAGACGGAATGCAAATTGTCTTTCCAATCAGAGTAATGAAACACAAATTGCCCTTCACCCAAATTTTATCGAATTTCTTTTCATATCACAGACCCATTATATAATCCATCAATGAACATAATTTAATAACTGCCAATCCACATGATGATAGAGCTCATCCTGGTTCCACGACATTAGTGAAATTTACTGTTGCATACCTAACTTCGAATATCTTGAGCAAATCATATTAATAAGCTTTTTGTCAGAACAGTTCGGATATTGCAATTTGCGCAGCTTACTCTCTTCGTCGGTGTTCATAAAAATGTAAAGATTGTAACTATTTCTTCAAGCAATTGACTACATAATATGTTGTTGGAGGTGACTTTACTGTCAAACATCAATGGTGGGAAACTGGACACGTAAATACGAAACGAAGAGAACTCTCCAAATCCATTCGCAATAGCAACCTTTTTGTTTTGTTCACCAGAAGACCTGTAGTCTACAAGATGAAGGGTAACTAACGGCCTTGCCAAACTATAACATTCTTAAGAAGTTGATAAACAAGCTACAAGAGGGAGACATTTTAATTTTATGAACTGAATTTTTCTTTTGGATCACAAGTAAATCAGATGTATGAAGTATACTCAAAGATAGGGATAAAAATAAAGATCTGTCAAATATAACTAAAGTGGAATCTTCATTAAATTAACATAAATTAATTTTTATTTTAAAATTTCTTTTATTTAAGTTACACAACTTTTTCTGTTCTGCGCTATAGGGTTTTCAAAATGTTTCTTTCATAAAGTTTAAGATGATATCTAATGAACAGGTAAATGGCTTATGACGTATATGGTAGATTCCGTGGCCCCTCTCCGGGGTTATATTCATATGCAAGAAAAAAAAAAAAACATTGATATTTTCCTTGTTTACACCAACTTTTCCGCCTCAAAGAAACTCTTCAAATGTCGCATTTGCCAAAAGCTCATGCTTACTACTACGATAGTTTGAGCTAAAGACCACCAGAGTACTCGTGAATTAGTGCTTTCAATGGTATGACGGAATCTCTTCTACCGATAGCGTTGATAGTTTTGTTCTTCTGTTATTTGTTCGACTTGGTCAAGCAATTGGCGAATACGTAGTTGAAACTGTTATGAACATTAACAAGAGACAAACATATTTTGTTGATGTCGTGCTGCCAAGTTCGCATTTCTCCAGAAACCATTGCAATTCCTCTAGAAACAGCTGATGAAAACAATAAACAAAAAGAAAAAATCTCACGGTTTTCCGCACCATCTTAGAGGTACTGTGTGGGCGCGTTGCCAATTATTTTGAATGGCTAGCTCCCCTGTAGGCCTACACCATTACAAACTTGAGTTAAAAACTACAATAATATTTACGATAACATTTACAAAATAATTAAAAAGTAACTTGCTGCGCGGCTGTTATTAACATCTTTATCCGCAAAAAAAAATTATGTAGTTACAAAATTTTATATATTAAGTTGATCGCGAATTTACCATTTGGCGTACGGCAGTCTTATATTTTACTGAAGCAATAGTGCAGAGGTATGCCTTGGAGGCTTATGGGAGATTGACGACGGCGCATCGTTTTCTGTTTATCTGCAAAGAAATATTAGAATACAAGTTAGTAACGTATCAACATTTTTATGCTAAATTTGAATTACTTGTGTGAAGACACGTTCTTGTCAATGGACTCTCTGCAGTTTTTCGTTTTTAGCAGCATAGCAGGATGAAACCAAGTAAATTTCGTCGGCGCATCCTGCCGGTAACGCATGACCCATCTGATTTAAGAAATCAATATTGGCTACCACTGTAGCTTGTATGCGTTTCCCTATATCTGCCTCGAGCATGTACTTGCGCATCACAGCATAAAAAATTTCATACGCAGCGTCGAATGTTTACTGCTGGTTTTGGGAATACCGGCTTGATGTGTTTGTTGGTTAGGATGATGGTGTCTATGGGGTCCTTCGCCATCTTCTCACCCATCACCTCTTTGCAGAAGTCGCGCTCCTCCTTCGTCTTGTCGTGCAGGCAGTGACTGCAATTTAGCTGCTCACAGATATAGTGACCTAATCCGGAGCCCGTGTACAGTCTGAGAAATCTTATTTCGTGGTATTAAGTTTAAGGTTTTGGAGATCTTAAATACGTCTCCATCGAGCCCGAACGGTGCGTAGTCTTCTTCGAGCTCTTCTTCAATTTCATAATCCAGGAGATTTGTTAACCGGCAGTCATTGTCTGTTTTAAATTCGGTTTTATATTTGAACACCTGCAGATTTCTCAGGCGATTTTGGGGGACGATCTGATCTTCTTTCGAATCACTTTGGCAATATTTATGAAGAATGCCTCAAGGAGGTCTTGTCATACCCTGAATGAAGTGAAAGTTGTATCAGGGTAAGCCTTAGTCAAGTCTACCATTAATTTTGAAAAATTCGTTGCGTTCTCTTCTAAGGCAATGGTAGTGGCGTCCTTTTTGTAAATCTGCAGTAAGTCGTTGGTGACTTCTCTTAAATGCTCGGCTACCTCGACTACGTTTTGTGCCGTTATACAACTTCGGTGAAATATGTTCACGAAGCTGGTTATTGCCTTGAATAATTTGCAGGTCCTCTTTGCCATTTCAGTGTCGCTTTTGAAAACAGCTTCTTTGATTCCCGCTTCCAGGATGCCTGTCGTGGAGTTGATGAAAAATTGCACCAACTCTGGAAGATACCAGGGAACTGCACCGTTTACAGTGGCGCCTCGAAGAATCCAAAATTTGATGGTGGTCTCTTCGAGCTTGTAAAATTTGGGCAATTGTGAAACAAAATAGACGAATTAAGAAAACGACAGCAACAGTAAGTACAAAATAAAAGCTTTAAATACTACATTTTTTATTTTAATAATTTGCTGAAAAATGCGGGTTTGTAAAAAATACCCCTACTTCAATTAAGGAGGAAGATTTTTTGAATTCTGCTATTTCTGAAGTTGAGATCGTTTGCGTCACGAGCTAAAAACAGCTTGAAGATTGACTTTGAGGGAAAATTAATCCTTAAAAACATCAAATTCAATTACTGTGTTGTCCCAGTGGACTATTTTATCCCTGCCGTTAAACTGTGTTTCAATTGCGACAAATTAAAAATAATATAGCGATCAAATTAAAATTAAAAACCAAAAATTTCAGTTCTTTTTCCCAACAAGCTACGCAATTATAAATAATAATCCACCAGTCATCCCTAGGGGCACGATAAGTCTCATTATACTTTGAACATCATTTTATAGTTATGTTTATGCTTATCTAGTATATGCAAGACACCTCCTCAATTGTGTTTTGTTCATTTTAAGCCTAAGGTCATTTATCAAATCTCAGCAAATCCTTCATCATTTTTCATTCTTCCAAAATTGCCCGTAATCTACAAACGCCGTTCTCCAATATATTATTATTATTATTAATTTCGCCAGAGAAATAAATTGTAAGACTAAACTCTTAAAAACACTAGCATCTAAGGCTATCGGCTTTCATTAAAAACTCCACTGCACTTGAGATTCGAACCCACGACCATTGACTTGCTAGTCGAGATTCCTCGCCTTCGGCTACTGAGGCGAAAACCCAATATAAAAAAGCTAATTTGTTCTATTGCAAATGCGTTGCCACTTCTAAGATCTTAAAAATTTAATACAAAAAGCGCTATAACGCATTTGTAGCTTAACAACACTAATGAAAAGGAACAAAAACAAAAAGCGTTACTTAACAACAATTGTCATTGTTATTGTTCATTTTCGCGATCTCCATTTGTAAGTATTGACCTGCTCGAAAAGACTGCACAAAAGACGTTATTTTCTAAGAATCAAGAGAAAAATCCGTCATATTCATGTGAAATTATTTAAAATGTCGTTTGTGATAAAAACTAATGGGATTACTGAAACAGAAACATGGTTTGGCCACAGTGGTCTTTTAAAAGTTGCTTATATGTTAGCCCGCATTATGTTAAGTGTGGAAATTTTCAAAGTCCCATAAAAAAACTCTTTGGGCAAAACTTAATATAACCTGCACACCGTTGGAAAGGCCATTAATAGAGGATTCACTCTGTGCTAGTTTCATTTTTTCAAAGGGCATGGTTTGGTCTCAGTAGCTCCGGAAACTTTCGCTTAATCAACCTCATTTATGGCATAGTGTAAAAAAGTTTTGGTTTCGAATATTAGTTAATATACATAAAGTCATGTTTTGTTTATAAGAATTTGCAAAAAAATTCTCGAAAAGTTCTATTTTACTTGTATTTTGAGTTAAATCCCTCCGAGACTTCGTTTAACAGAATTCTGTTAACGTCTTTACAGTGCTCTGTAAAAAATTTTAATTTGTGTCTTTGCTAGTTATATTTAAATATAACTTCACACCCTTATATAATCTTTGAGCTCCCAACTCGAAGTTGACAATATTTAAATATAAAAAATATGTATTGGAGTCTCATATGATGGATGTATGTCACAATAGAGGATGCATTGTCACAATATTAATAATTGATCCAGTATCAACGGATGGAACTGAGAGCGAAGAAATCGTCTTTTAAGCATGGATAAGATATTGCCACCAAGAACTATGTGGAACCAGTAATGTTCGGATTTTTAGTTGTATCTAGCTTAATATAGCGAAAAGCAGAACAAAAACATGAGCAACATCTAAGTTCAATATACCCGGTACCGCAAGGTGGTGTATGGTATAAAAAACACTTCCAGAGAGCAATTGGCACACTCGACTTTGACATTGAAGGGGAATGCGCTACAACATGTCAATAGATAACATAAGATAGATTGCTTCTTCTGTGCGATAAGACTTAACCACACATCCCAAAAATGTTAGAAACACTGAAATAAATTGAAATGAGCTGTGTGCTGCTTTGCTCTTTACATCTATCTATATGTGGACCTATGAAATGAACGAAAAAAAGAAATTCTTCTATGCATAGTCTCAAATGATGATTTGTTCATTTCACACGGAATTCATAGGCTATCAGAAAAATAGGCTATGGAAATATGCAATTGCAATGGGAGCATGTCGTATGCATACGTCATTAGGATTGTGGTTTTACCTTATGATGTTTTAAAACCGTAAACTTCTACCATAGACTATTTGGATTGTTAAAATTCGGTGAAGATCCGGGCATCGTATTATCAATCAAATTTTGGAAAATGATTGCAGTGTTATGGTTACGGATGACCAAAATGGGATAAGAGCCGACGTCAACCATTCATGTGCATATTTATGGGGAAACGAGCCCAAATCTTAATATAATTGAAAGTTCATTTTCCATCGTATAAGACTATAAAGCGAGTAACCAGAAAGTAGCATTACTTGTTAATGTGTTAGGTATTGGACAGTTTCGAATGATGGCCACTATCGAGAAAGTTTATTGTCGGAAAAGAATAACTGTAGACAAGAAAATTCAAAAAGCTAATTTGGTAAACAAATTCTTATATTTTCTTGAATTGCAAAAAAAATAAAACCGTATATTCAAAGTTTTTAATATTTATTTCAAATTTCTATAGATTGAATCAAGATGGTCGCCACACGTTCAAAATAGTGCACATACCAAAAGCCGAATCGCGTTATCCATCGTATCGTAACACTAGTTCACGTTTTTTGCCATTTTTTTGCGACATAAAACGTAACGCCTCTGAATGCGTAGAAAAAGCCGATTCATCAGCCTCGATTAGTGACTTTTTTTAAGAATACAATGAAAACAAAATCCAAATCCGACCTGACATATTTATTCGCTCTGGCTCAAAATCAAATGTTAAATTATCGCAAATCCCTTCAGTGCTCATACGAAAGAACGATATACAGAAAACATTCGAAAATTCGTAAGCCACGTAGACACTCAGGGTATATACAAGCAAACTCCTTCTTGCAATGGCGAAAATCTCGCAAATTTGCTGTTCGGACAATCTTATTAACAAAAACCAAGCATTATGCAGTCATCAACGACGATTCATCACACATACAGCAAACACACTTTTTTTACAGCACAAGCAGCAAGCTGCCCTCTTCCCTACATTGCAACTGAAAGGAATTTTGGGTCGTCCAGAAGCCCAAATGCTGCTGATCGATTCATCAAAAAGTAAGCTAGGTGTGTAAGTAATGCGTCGATGAATAAGCAAGTAAATGTTTTTAATTTAGGTGTAATTTCTGAAGATGACTAGACAATCCCGTTTGAGGTATCGCGATCATGAAGCCATTATGTGGAACTTACGTATACATGTCAACAGCAACAGCAACAAATTTTGCAAACCATAGCTCTCAGCAACAACAGCATACACAATATTCAAGGTACATCTTATAATATATGGCAATAGTTACGTGATACGTATTATTTACGATTATTAAACGCGTTAGCAGTGTTTGACAACCCTAAATTGTACGAGCAAGAGGAAGAATTTTAAAAAGTGTGTTCAACTGTCAAGAAAAAAATTTTTTTTTAAATCTTTTCAATTATTGAAACATGGAATCAAGCAAAAACAATATAGGTGAAGAAAGTTACTTAGACGGCCCGAATGATTGTAATATCAATAAAACATTATTAATTCAAAAAGATATCGCTCTAAAAAAAAGTGTGGGTCGATATGAAGATGAAATAATGTCCTTAGTGGATTCCCGGCCTTATACGCAAACGACAATAACCAATTTTGACAATTCGCCATGAATTGTTGTCACAGTCTGCAGAGTTATCGACAAGTGGAAATGAATTTCATATCACTGATAAAGAGTTAATCGAATGTTGTAATAAAGCGGAAGTTACGATGAAAGAAGTAAACAGCATAGACGCTCCAGAAGGAGCTCATGATGGCAACAAAAAGAAAACAATTGTAGATATAATATTTGAGGACTTTTCTACAACGCTTTTTAACAGTCCTACAACATCGCCTGAAAGTAAGTTAAGGAATTTGGAACGGTCCCCTTTATTTATATTACGGGAGAAACCTAAAAGAAATTATCGCCATGAATTTAGAGAAAAGGCAAAATTGGCTTTTTTATACGATTCTACGCCAGAAAGTAAGTGGCTCTTTATAGGCTTTTTTTTAAAAAGTCTAACTTTGTACATTCTCCTTAGGAAAAGCTTCAGATCGAGGTTATGATGATATGGAGAAAGAGGACACTTACAACGTAAATCAAAGTTGTTTTTAAAATTTGTGAAGAGACAACATTTAAGTTAATCCAAAATTTTTCAGCCATCCAATCAGTTTAAAACTGGTTTAAGTTGTACTCGTACTAATTTAAAAAAATAACAAATGAAAAGAGTTGATGGAACACGCAAATTTTCTTATAAGATTCATTTATTTTTTTTAATGTTAGTACATTTTGAGTCCTTGCTTATCCTTTTTTCTTATTGGGTTCGGCACTCATTGCTAGTGTGGCCATCTATCGCTATAAATACTAATTGGCTCGCTTAGAAGCGAGAAATGATTATTCTACTATATTTATTATATTTACATAACATATAGAAATACTTATGTACACATATGCTTCTGTTCAAGTTCAAATTAGTTTTGTTATTTTTTCGCATTTTATTTAATTAATGACATTTGGATATATTTTACTTATCCTTGGTTTCTTGTATCTTTTTGCTCTTGAAATACTTATATAGTTATAGCTTTTTTAGTGTTCATTTATATTCATTCCACATAAGAACGCAGTTATTAATTTTTCCTTTTTGAGATAAGAAGACGTAAAAAAAAAAATAAAAACAAAAAAAAAATATACTCATCGAATATCGTTCGATTTTCAAATTTTTGTAGATTTATCTGCTGTAGTTTATGAATAATGAACAAGGAACGCAATTTTTAACGTCACATTGTGGGCGTGTCCTTCGATCGATGTGCGCCATTTTCAATACCAGCCTCTGTACAATAATTTCCAATGCTTCTGCCCAATTTTAAATCGCCAGCTTCATTTTTGTGGCCAAGAGACAAACAAAAATTACATAGAAGGGCAGACAGCCAGCCGGACGTACATAAATCGATTTATAATTAGATGCTGTTTAGGAACGTATATACACACAAGGTTCCTCTTGCAAACGCATCATTCTTTGGTGATAGACGGAAAAATTACAAAGGAAAACATTACAGTGAGACATGGCTCATTAAATACCATGCAGAGCGTCACGTGGTCTACCTGTTCGTCCAAATGATAAAAAGATTACATAAGTTTATTGAGCGAATAAAAAAAAATAATAGCAAACATTTAGATTTAATTTTAGAGAAGAGGATTGCAGTAACCAAGTAAATAAAAAAAGTGCTTATGACACCTTTTTGGTATTTGATCATAAATTTACCGTATTTTTACAAAAGCGAAAGTGTACAGATCGTAATGTTTTTAATTGCATATTAGCAATAGTGCTAAACAAAGCAAAACAAAAATTTGTTCTCATAGACTGCTTCTCAAACATAGCGCTGTATGGGAAATTTTCTGCTTATTATTATTATAATAGACAGCGTCGAATGCATATCATTACTGTAAAGAACCAGATAACTGATAATTTCGATGTCGAATATGCGGAATTTCCATACTAATTAAATTGTCCGGCGCGCCTTGCATTTTTTCAATTAAAACGGTAAAGCAGACAAATAAATGATAAAATGTTGATACATTTCGTTCAAAATAGAAAATTTGAATTTCTTAGGAACTTCAGGCAGTAATAACAGTAGAGCTGTTAATTAGCGACAATGTACGTTCTTTCTCTTTCGTACTTATTAATTGTACGACAAAGAGTGCTATTAAAATGCTAAACCACACCAAATGTATACGGCGCAAAAGCGTATAAAAAGAGGCCAAGTCCTTGTAGCCTCAGTAGTATTCTGTTGCACTGCTTCGCGAACATTTCGTAAAAATTATAAAAAAAAGTGAGCTGGATATAAAGGTGATCCAATACATAAGGCAAAACGACTTTCCCTGCACACATTGTTTTTTATAAAATAGAATTAATTGGAAGAGCATTAGTTTAACAACATCCAAGTTGCAAGTCCGAAAAATTTTTAGAATGATACGCGGCCCGGCTTTCCTACTGACACCAATAATCCGCCGATACAAATTTTCAACAACATATTGATCGTACAAAGCGAAGAAAATATAGGGCGGGAAAATGTCTTAGAATACGTCGGAAGATAGCTGAACTAACAAAAGCCATACGCAGAAATGATGTGTTTAATGACATAATGGAATTTGCTGACACTTATTTTAATCCCTACGGAAAATCTCTCTCTTATCGCAACGTTAACGCATAAGGATAAGGAGCTTAACGATCCTGTATCTTAATGTGAGATGGTTACATTCTTGAAAAGAGATGAAATTCCACCATTGCATATACGCATGTATGAACCTGAAAACGTGGATCTATCTTGTGTTGTAAAAATATAACATTTTTCAGAGCGCACCTGTATTTACAACAGTCTTAAACAGTCTTAAACAGTTGTAAACAGTTGTAAACACTTTGTTAAAATAGCGAAATTCCGGATCGAAAGTAAATAAAATGTCATTAAAAGGTCTTCAACAGTCTTAAACAGTTGTACACTTTGTTAAAATAGCGAAATTCCTGTTGTCTAATCTGACGGACTCATATTTATGACAACACGACTCTTTACAATATAATGACTTTTAGATATAATGTCGTCAGTTCTAAAACTGATGTTGGAGCTTTTAGAGACTGAATTGATCACACTTTCATCTGAATTTGCACATTTTTCGCCAAACTGCTTTTATATCCCCACCCAGAAATCTTGATGAGCCTAGGTGTTACGTTAACCTTCCAATAAGGTAAACGATTAATAATAAGCACAGATTGAGAAAACAATGGTGAAACAATACGAATTCTGTAGATATAAGGAACTTGAATAGAGCTTCAAACGATCTGCGCTTACGTCTAGCTGAGATAGGAAACGTACAAACTAACAATTTTCTAATCATCATCACAATTCAGATATGTTTGATGAACATTACTTATGGGGAGCTACCAAATATCTTAAATAACCGACAAAGCGAATCGCTCCTCTGAAGATTAGCTCTAGAAATTAGCGCAGAAACAATATAAAGTTAGCCGAAAACTGTGCTCACTATGTAAAAGAAATCCTTCAACATACTAAGCTTTACGGAACTTGAACTGTAAAAGTAATACTGAAACTTCTAGACAGCCAATTTTTCATAGCTTGGTCTACCAGACTTACATCAGTTGATGAAGTCGAGAAAGAAATTAGCAAACTGGACGTTACGAAATATCCTGAATGTAATTGAATATGTGGAATAACTACTAAATTTTTAACATTAAAGGCTTCTTACGAACGAAATTATTGCAGGCTCGTATAGTTTACTGGTGACACTTTCTAAAATATTGGAAAAAATACATCTACGGAAACTACTCCCTAGTGCTAGACCAGGAATTATTATTTATTTTTATTATTTCAACGTTAAAGATGAAGATGGTAGGTCCAACGTATATAATATTGATGGTAAAGTGCCTTAGAGAAGTGGTTTGATAATAAAACTCTGTACAATTTGCAGTTCAGATTCTTCGATCGCTGATATTTTATTTTAAGTGCGGCATACACTCATGATACAGCAATCCCGTTTCTATCTAGTGAATGTTCCCTACGAACACAAATTGATCTAAACAAAATTTCACTTTGTATGAACAAATGGAATGTTAAAATAAACGCTACAACGCACCAATGGATCTTAAAGAAGTCGTGCTCCATAATCTGCGATTGTGGACAAATTCTCACTATGAAGCACATTCTTTGTGACTGCATTAACTTTTCCTTGGCTACAAGTTTTGCATTTGGAGTGACTAATCTTATGGATATTCTAAAATCAGCTACAGAAAAGAATATCAATACAATGTATTGTTTTATTAAAACTACTGGGCTCAATATCTAATGCATTTTTATAAATTAAGTGTTGCTAGCGCTCCATGTCTTTTTTTTTTAGTCTACGAATTTATTTCATTAGTATAAAATTATAATAATAATAATAAAATAAACGCTAAAGGATCAACTAGTATTACCTTCGTGCTAAATACGTGTTCTTGTTCTTCACTATTTTTGAATGGCAATAATCTCCCTATCCCTAAAATATCTGCTCACACTCTGACCGAAAATTAGCATGGAAAAATCATATAAAAGCTAAACACTAGCAACATGACTTAAAAGCTTGAGATTCTCTGGGATATAATAAATACATTTTAAAATAAAGTTGTTAAGCGCACCTATAAAAATGCTATCTGTTCTATAACAAGACAAAGAGTAAAGACAACAAAAAGTTGGCATCTCTGTTGTAACTGACAAATCATCGAAAGTTTTTTTTTTTTATAGAAGAATTAAACTTTGCCGATATTCTGCTATTATTAGTCACAACTACAAGAAGATAATGATAAAGCCATAATTGCAAGAGTAACTATTTTCAAATATATATTTTACAAAAAGGTTTAGAAACACTTGTTTATGGGGCTGCTACAGGCTCCCAATTGCGGACTTTTACTTGCTCGTCTTTTTGGTTATATCAGCTGCCGTTAATTGTTAATGGCCAAAATGTCTTCTTCAGCTATATATGTGTTGGATGTAAAGGGTAAAGTTTTAATTTCGCGTAATTACCGTGGTGATAACATGGATATGGCAGTGATTGATAAATTCATGCCATTGTTAATGGAAAAAGAAGAAGAGGGTCTTATTACCCCGATCTTGCAAACAACAGATTGCACCTTTGCCTACATTAAGACAAACAATTTATACATCGTGTCGACAACACCACGCAACAAGAACGTCAACATTGCCTTAGTCTTTGTGTTTTTGCACAAAATCGCGCAGGTGTTCATAGAATACTTTAAGGAACTGGAAGAAGAATCTATACGTGACAATTTTGTAATAATCTATGAACTGTTGGATGAATTAATCGATTTCGGCTATCCTCAGACAACAGATTCAAAAATCTTGCAAGAGTATATAACACAAGAAGGTCATAAGTTAGAAATACAGCCGCGTATTCCATTAGCTGTAACCAATGCAGTATCTTGGCGGTCAGAAGGTATTAAATACCGTAAAAATGAAGTTTTCCTGGATGTCATTGAGTCGGTAAATTTGTTAGCCAACGCCAATGGGAATGTACTGCGTAGTGAAATAGTGGGAGCCATAAAGATGCGAGTTTATCTATCAGGGATGCCCGAGTTACGTTTGGGTTTAAATGATAAAGTATTGTTTGAAAGTACTGGCCGTGGTAAATCTAAGTCTGTGGAATTAGAAGACGTAAAGTTCCACCAGTGCGTACGTTTGTCGCGATTCGAAAATGATCGTACCATTTCTTTTATACCACCTGACGGTGAATTTGAATTAATGTCATATCGTTTGAATACACATGTAAGTAAAAGTATCTTAATATAATTTCAGTGTTATAGATATATTCATTTTTAGGTGAAACCTTTAATTTGGATAGAGTCTGTTATTGAACGTCATGAACACTCACGTGTCGAATACATGATCAAGGCAAAGTCGCAGTTTAAAAGACGCTCCACCGCCAACAACGTCGAGATCATCATTCCAGTGCCAGCCGATGCTGACTCACCAAAATTCAAGACCACGATTGGCAGCTGTAAATATGCTCCTGAGCAGAACGCAGTCATATGGACGATTAAATCCTTTCCGGGTGGAAAGGAGTACCTGATGCGCGCTCATTTTGGTTTGCCAAGCGTAAAGAGTGAGGACAGTAACGAGGGAAAACCGCCAATACAAGTGCGTTTTGAAATTCCATATTTCACCACTTCAGGTATCCAGGTACGCTACTTGAAAATCATTGAAAAGAGCGGCTACCAAGCTCTGCCATGGGTGCGTTATATCACACAAAATGGTGATTATCAATTGCGTACTAACTAATCAGCAAGTACTTAGAGAGAGGACTATTTTATCTCCACATTTGGCAAATACAAAAAACAGAAATCTATATATCTAAATATTTAAATGTCATTCCAATTGATCATTAAGGAAAAAAAACCCGTTCATCTTACATATTTTATAGCGCGATTTCATTTTTACATAGTTACAGTTAAAGGTGTGCCGTCTATTTACCCCAGCATACCTCAGAGATCTCAACTAAATGTGTTTAATTATAAAACAAATTGAAACAAAACGTTACTCTTCTTGTCTGATCAAATGGAAAAGTCAAATATGGTGAACATAACAGAGCGCTATTGCAGACCCATTTAAACAATTTCTATCTCTGCTCTGCCTTATTATTGCGGCTTTAACATTAAAACATAAATTGAGTACGCAGTTGTTTGTTAACAGAGATAAACATTTCTTTGGTCTTAAAAGGTCACATGTTTTATTCCGCGCAAAGCACACAACTGTTACTTAACTTACTTTCACTTAGACAAGTCTATGATTCTCAACAATACTTATTATTCGAAGGATTCTAGAGGCAATTTTCTTGAAGCTCATATGTACTATTTGTTCAGCATAAATTTCCTATCTTTCTTAAATTTTTCCTCCTGGTTTCCTGATCTCTCGCAGGACACCGTGGCTTCCCGATCTCAGCAAGAGCATAATTTAGTAAGGTGGTCATGTAGCTCAGTATGGTGTCTGAAGTATGTTGGGCTTTGAAATTCCTAAATTGTAAACAGCTCCTCACAGCTGATCACAGCTTTACGAACCTCGTCATGTAAAGCTGCTTAAATTTCCATTAATCGATGCCACATAATATAATTACATGGCGTCCCACATCTCATGTCGTCTTATAAGTTTGCTTAAAGCAAGAAGAAAAGATTTGAATTTGGAAAATTTTTCACGGCAAAATAAAAAAAATTGTTTTAAAGAAATCCTTTACATCCTAATTACCAAATAATTACATAAGGAGTCAGCAAATACGAAGTCTTGGCACCCAGTAGTGAAATTGTTTCTTAGTTCGAGTCATAAATTCTTTTTTTTCAACTTTCGACTTCCCCTACTTTCTCCACATGGCAGTAAACAGGTGATTGCTATATATTCAACCTTTTCGCTAAAATATTGAATTGAAAAGCTTGCTGTCAAGACCGGAAGAAGAATGGAATTCGGCAAACAAATTTTTAACTGAGCACTTATTAGCACTTCACCCTAATTCACCATTTGTCTCCTTAGCACTGTTCCATTTTCTCCTGTGATTTATAGTAGGAAGACGCGAACATTGACTGATTCTGCATTGGAAGTTAATTAAGGCTCGATTTAATATAGCGTTCGAAAATTGTATATACTGCGCCTTACAGATATCCAAAATAAAAATATATAAAAAAAAAAACTACATTTTTAACCGACACGTCTAACAAACTTCTGAACTTTCGGGTGTACAATTATAAATATTTCATTACTGTAAAAAACAAGGAAAACTGTATATATCAAGTCCGTTCATTATAAAAATTTTATATATATATGCAATTTTAAAGTCTTAATTTACTAATAAATGCACTTTCTGTGAGTCTTATTGAGTTGAATATTCGACTACATAACAAACAATAATATACGTAATTTAAGGAGAAAAGAAAATTAAGATACAGAATTAATTTTAGCTATACAATAATCATTACAATGCATAAATTCGTATTCGCATACTAATAATATTACAAAACAATAAATACGTAAAACACTTTGTCACCAATTATTTAAATAATTTAACGAGAGGAATCTTTCACGGTAGTGAAAAATAATTGAAAAAATGAGCTTTTTAGACTTTAAAATTCTTAACGGGATAATAACTTTTGTTCTCTTCAATATTCCGCTTCAGCTCGTTCATTTGTTCCTGTAAATGCAATGGAACGTCATTGTAAACATCTGTAAATAATTCTTTCCAGTTAGGTTTGAGTTTTTTCTCCGAAATTGAAATTTGCTTTAATACTCTTTTACGTATGTCTTTAACAAATTCATTTTCTTCTGCTTCGTTGAACCAATTTCTTTTAACCATGTAATTTTTCAATTTGGAAATTGGATGCTCGACCGAATTCCACACCTCAATTTCGGCAGATGAACGATATGCTGTCGAATCGTCAGAAGTCGAATGGTGACCGACTCTATATGTACGCAGAATATTGTGTTGAAATATAAATTTTGTATTTACATTATCTACTTACCGGTAAGCCATTGCTTCCAACACTGCCGGTTTACTTTCTTTCAAAACATATTCTCGACACAACTTCATGGCATTGTAAACGGCAAAAACATCCGTGCCATCTACGCGTATAGTTGCTATTCCATAACCGGGACCTCTCCCAGCTATACCGTCACCTTTATATTGCTCATGAGCCGGAGTCGAAATAGCAAAGCCATTATTGCGACTTTAAGAAAGAAGATAATCGAACAGTTTTGAAAACATGGTTTGATTGTAAAAGAATATCTAATTCACCAGAAAAGTATTACAGGACAATGCAATGTGGCTGCAAAATTGAAAGCCGCATGAGCATCACCCTCAGAAGCAGCACCTTCCCCGAAATAACAAACAACGCACGCATCATTATTTTTGCGCCGCTTCATAGCATAAGCTGCGCCAACCGCTTGAGGCATTTGCGTTGCTGAAATCGACATAATTATTTTTTTATATTTTCTTACAAAGCATTTTTACAGGTTATGCTTTTCATTGAGAGAGATTCAGAGAGATCGACTTGATGATTTAAAGCCCGCCCCTTTGTCCATTTCCTTTTTACACCGTCAAACATACAAAAATCGGCGTGGACAGTCTCAATAACCAAAGTAATGAATTATTTGGAATAAAAAAGCAAATTCCTGTTTAATTTTAAGAATATGACCTACGGTAGACTCTAATTTCAAACCCTCTCTCTCCAAAATTTATCATTTATCATTTTCAATGTGGAGATGGTTCCAACCGGTGCACTGAACCGGTGCAAGCGCTAGCAGCAACGTAGGCAAAGATTTGCCACGTGATCAATATAAATATAATGGTTTATTTTAATGAAATTAATCAATCACAAAGTTCGCAAAGCACTAAAGCCGTTCAGCAAAAGAAACAAGAGTTTTAAGGTAGTCGTACATGTCTAGACAAAAACACTTTTTTTATACCCTAAACTTATGGTGAGGATATATTCAATACCCAGTACTTGAGATAGACCCACTTTTAATTATACCGAACGATTCAGGGTCACTTTCTAAGTTGATCTAAGCTTGTCCGTCCATTTGATGTCGTTCTGTGTATTTGTATCTAACCTTTTGAGTAATTTGATGAAATTTGATACGCCGACATCTTTTGGCCAAGTAGTTCGAAACATACGACTTTTTCGGCCACTTCTCATATTTTGAAAAGTCGTTATATGAATAACTGTGAGGTGGTGAAAGATGCTTGATGTTGCGTCATGGCCCACCATATTGTTTTTACTTGTTTTTCTTCACTTCACTTCTGAAGTCCTAGACGACGATTTATTTGAAGTGAAAATCACAAAGAGACGGAAATCTCTTCAAATTCAAGAGGTATTGCTATATAAGAGAGAAACTTAGTAGTATTGGAAACAAGAATTTGTCGTTAGGTAGACAATCCGTTTAGTAAACGCTATATTTTAGCTTTGTTGCAATGTAGTGTTTGCACATTTCGACTTCCAATAATTCTACTGCCTGCGCGGCAGCTTTTCTTACGAAATTGAAAAAGCAATCGGTAATAGATAAGCATTTTGAAAAACACCTGATAGGAATGAATAAACTGTGCACTCTTGAAAAAACTATGTAAAGCTTATTGAAAGAATAAGTCTAAGCATAATCTTGTTTCATCTACAAATTGCTTTGTCCTTCTAATAACCTAATGATTAAAGCATTGGCTTATGCTGCGTCATCGAAGAAAAATACTAAAAGCGCTTACCTAAAGGACTGGAAATAGTAATAAAATTCAAATCCTTCGAGCCATAATGTACTGGCATTTGTTTGCCTTTGCCCACATCGGCTTCATTGCCATAACATTGATCAATAAACTGCTCAATAGAAAAACCTCTCCATACCAACACTCCAGCTTCTCTATATTGACCGTAGATAACATCACGGATTTCCAACGCCGCTGCACTACCTATATGAGAACAAAAAATTAACAAAAATATCCTAAAATTCGTGACATTAATTACCTATATGACTAGCTTCTTCACCAAAATTCGTCATATAGAAGGAAATACGGCCTTGTCTCTGGGACTCATACAATATCTTATCCATTGTATTTAATAAAATCATATCGCGAAACATTTTCTGAACAGTTTCTTTGCTTAAATTGGGATCTTGCGTAAGATCTTGGATTTTTCCATCCCGATCTAGAACACGATAAATTGGTATAGACTCAATATCCTTGGGCATTACAAACACGGGCTGCGAAACAAACGCAGCTTTGGCGCCAGGGAAAACTGAAGTGTGGCCAGCAAATGCGACCATCCTACAGTTGCGTACTAAAGTTGATTTTATCTATAAGGAGGAAAGATACAGTTTTAACATCCTTAAAACTATCTGTACGATCAATTACCTTAAATCGTTTAAGCACGTTTTGAATAGATTTGGCAGAACGACTGACGGAAAGCATGACAAATTGAAAAGAATTTTAAAAGAGAGTAATCCTGAAAACAAATTAAACTCGGAAGACTTATTACGTTTTGTTATTTTTCGTTACAAGCACATCTGTCAAATAACTTACATAACTGAGCAAAGTCATATGTTTTCTATAAATAAATAGTAGAGTTGCCACCTCAAAGTTTAATAAAAAGAGCTTATAAAATTATTCTATTGTTCTCATTATGAGTATATAAAATTTCCAAAATTATGGATACTTTAACTGAAGTGCAATTTTGGAATGCATGCTCCATATTAGTACGCAATTATCACGCAGTTAATCGTAAAATATTTGCCTGCATCATACAACAAGTGGACAAAATCCTTAAAAACATTCATCAATATGATCAAGATTGTAACCAGGAAACTGTGAGTGAGATTTGCAACGACGATATCCAACAGTTATTGTGTGGCTATTGCAAAAATAAATTGAAAGACGATGGCACCGAAGGATTCGTAATTCATCTGAAATTACTACATAAAAAGCAGGAACCCAGTATTAATGCAATTGTCGTCATAAGTAAGTTTTATAAAATTACGTTGGATAGTTTTTATCAAGAAGACGCTATCTGCCACCTATGTTGATTTCAGTTTGTACATGTTGTGCATACATTTCTAGTTTGAAAGGCAGCTAATTGAAGTTCTAGTAAAAGATTTTCATGAACGATATTAATTTTGATTGTTAACAATAGAACCAGATGCGTGCACATTGGATTTTATTTATCAGGGTTCATCTTAGCGTGAGCAGCAGTGAAAATTTGTTAACACAAAAGGTGAAGTATTTATTTTTCTTTATAATTCGTGAAAGTAAATTCCATCGTGAGCTGTGCTTTTAATATGTAAATACAGTTTTCTGAAGCGAGAGACTAGTTTCATCAATACTCAGCAAATAACTATTGAAGGATAGTATAACCCGATGAAGGGAAGATTTCAGTAATCGTTTTGGTGAGGGTGTTAACATGCAAATCTTATCTCTGCTTTGCTAGAAAGACATGCAAACTGCAATAAGTTCATCTACTCATTAAATGTTTACGTTTTTCTACACCACCACTGGAGACATTGTACAGCAATAATAATCTTGGCGTTATTATTCTATTTCCCCATCAATTTTCAGGTTATTTCTCGACAATATCAAGTCAGTGGAGGTCAATCTGCTGCACAATTTTACAATAATCGTGTAGGAATGCGTAGGCTTTTGAATTTAAATGAATACAATGTGTGTAACATACCAAACAGGCATCCTAAGCAGACTTGCCTTGTATATAAAAACTATCATCATATATTAGAGTCCACCTAGTGTAAAATATTTTTTTCACCTTAATATAAGAGTTTATATCATTAATCTAAACACGCTTTCATTTTATAGATCTCCTTGATAAAAGTTGCATTTTAAGATTCCAATGTAATGAGTTAGATGATTTCGAAATTAGGTTTGAAACCAACGAGTTGAAGTTCAAATTGTTATGCCCTTATGTAGGCAAAAACAACACCTTTAGGTGGCTAGAATATGTTTTTAAGCCTAAATTTTTAAAATGGTGTAAAAGCACAAATCATCAAGCCCCAACAACGCAGACATCCCCTTTTAAAGGCTCTTTGAACTTAATAGATCCCGAAAAGTACAATCAATTGTACAGGTGTCTAAAATTAAAATACAGCCAAGAAATCTTAAAGGTACGTAATAACAACAGTACAATCGAAGAAGTTATTTGTTTGCACAAGTTTTATTACAGCTATGGCAGACTGCTGAAGAATCCACAGATCCCCTAAAGTTCATTTATGAAGATTTGGCCATAGCTGCCTACTTAATTACTTTGTGGCGAAGTGACTTGATTAAGGAATCAATTTCGTTTGCCGACTTAGGTTGTGGTAATGGGCTGCTGGTATTTGTACTTTTAAAGGAAGGATTCAAAGGTTACGGTTACGATATTAGGAAACGTAAGCTGTGGTGTCTGTATCCTTTCGAAGTACGGCAAAACCTTTACGAGAAAGTCCTGGAATCATACAAATTTGATTTACCTTCAGATGTGAATTTTCTGATAGGCAATCACTCAGACGAATTATCACCTTGGATACCTGTATGGGCTACTAGTCTTCGTTATAATATGGATTATTTTTTATTACCTTGTTGTGCATTTGAATTTTCGGGAGCTAAATATCAACGCCGCAATTCTTCGCAATCTGTTTATAGTGACTTTTGTAATTACGTTGAAGATGTATCGAAACGCTGTGGCTTTACAACTTTTAAAGACCGTTTAAAGATACCAAGTACTAAAAGAATTGCTTTTTGCGGCATTCGACGTAACTACGCGATCTGCGAACATCTAACTAAAGTGGCAGAAATTAAAGAGTTCGTGAAAAATGAGCAATATGCACATCCAAACAGTGTAGCTGGCTGCGAAGTCAAATTAAGAGATTATAAGGAGCGCATAAAAAATTGTACTCAAATAGATAGGACTATCCTTGATAGTTTGGTATTAAAAATATTCTTTTTCCTCCTTAATGCGCAAAAGCAGTGCTACACCATTAATTGTGTGTGGCAGGGAGGCGGTTATTTAACCTTACAAGAATTAGCGGATAATTTAGAGAAATCCGATTTAAACAACATAAAGTCCGAGTGTGGTGGCTTAAAAACTCTGCTTCGCAATAAACATGAGATTTTTGAATTATTGCCGGAAAACCGTGTAAAAATACGTAAACCTGAGATTCGCAGAAGGCCAGAGCAAACAATAAAGAAACGTAAATGCTTTTTCAATGATAACCACCCACAAGGTTGCCCATTATCTGACGAAGATTGTACATTCATTCATTAACTTTCATCAAGCAAGATGTATGACTGAAAAAAATGTAATTTTTGCCTTTATTATGTAATCATTAAGTCAATGTACAGCATATTATAGAAAGATCTATCTGTAATAAAAAATGATCATGTATATGTATATTTTTCGCATGTCTATTGTATAGTTACACTATTGAATTCAATGGGAGCTGTCCGAGCTGTTACTACGCCTACGTCGGCGCATTGGGGAACGAGAACGTCGCCTAGGCGAACGTCTGCCACCACGGGGTGGCGAGCGACGGTTACGGTTGAAACGATTAAAACGAGGCGGAGAACGCCAACGTTCCATAGGTCTTCGGTTTATAGGAGAGGGACGTCTCGGAGCCGGACGTATCTTCGGTGTTAGCACTGGCGAAACACTAACTTCTTGACCATCTATTTGACCACCATCCATCTGTTTTATGGCATTTTCGCATTCTTCATGAGTGGAATACTCTACGTAAGCGATGCCTCGGCCAAAGCTTGGATGATAACGGTCCGTTGGAAATTCAACATTTTTGACCTCACCGAAACAACTGAATATTTCCACTATATGATCTTTAGTAACATTGCGAGTCAAACGACCAATGTGTATACGCGTAGGTTTAGGTGTGGCGGATCTATCGCGAACCTTAGCGCCGAGACTGCGTGAACGAGAACGTTCGCGACTGCGTTCGCGGGCCTTGACATCTGGACTGCGAGAACGTTCACGGCGTTCACGTTTTGGTGGTGGACTACGTGAACGGGTCCTAGATCTTTCACGATTTTTAACTTGTGCGCTACGAGAACGGGAGCGACTGCGATCTCTTTGTTTAACTGGTGGACTACGTGAACGATCTCTACGTTTAGGCGGAGGACTACGGGAACGCTCGCGTCTTTTGGGAGGCGGGCTGCGGGAGTGTGAGCGTGAACCACTCTTACGGGACGACGACGATGACGACGAAGTCGACGATCCGCTGGAGCTCGACGAACTCGAACGTGACCCGGACTCTGAGCTACTGCGTGACGAACTGCTGTCTGATGAGCTTTTTGACAAGAATTTTCTGAATATTATAAAACAAGTCTTTTTTCATAAATTCTAAAACATACCTATCACTTGAATCACTACTTGACGAAGCTGAACCACGTCGCCTGCGATCCCTTTCTCTGCCGCGATTTGAATTTGACGATGAACTTACTTTGTTTGTAGAATTCTTAATGCCATCTTTGCTATCCTTCGAGTCTTTTTTATCCATAGCCTTCTCCGTGGAGGGAGAATGATCACGCGCCCTAAGAATGGTAGCTTGCAATCGTAAAACCTAATAACCACTTTCAATATTCAATAAAGAAACTTACATAGGTTTTCACTCTTTAAGTAAGCGTAGAAAAAACTTTAAATCTTTCTTAATAATTTAATGAATTATTACTTTCTGAGCAAGAAAATGGAGAATATACCGCAGGCCACACAATCAACGCTTTTGCCGATATTAGAATTGCCAGATCTTACAATTGAATGTTATGATTGCCGTGTCTTCATTATATGAATGCAAAAATTCACATTTACTTATACTTTATACAAAATATAAACAACAATACACATCGTATATAAAACAGTAGTAGATTTTATCTGCAAAGCATTTGAAGAATTCAGAGAGATTTTAAAGGGAGAAGAATAAATATTATATATTTTAAAAATACAATTATACTGCAAAACAGAGCTCGCTACACGGTAAAAGAATAAAAATAAATTATTTATATAAAATTAAACTTTGTGATTAAACTGTGCACATATGGAGCCCATAGACATTGTGCGTCTCGAGGAGGCGGTGGTGGTTTTCTATCGCTCCACCTCTCAGGAGCAAGCACATTTACATGAATGGCTTACGAAAGTGCAGTTGAGTGCCCAAGCCTGGCAATTTTCCTGGCAATTAATGCAACTGGGAAAGGTAAGCTAATCTTTGTGGCATGTATATGGCATTTGATTGTTAGACAATTTTGCGCACAGTCTCAAGAAGCTCAGTTTTTCGGTGCCATTACGCTGCATTCAAAGCTAATGAAATTCTGGCATGAGGTGCCTGCAGAAAATCGCGATGAACTAAAACAGAAAATCCTAGAAACTATTATACAATTTGCTGGCGGTCCTAAATTAGTTTTAAATCGTTTGTGTATAGCAGTAAGTATAAAGGAAATATGTAAATAATTTGAAGGTAAATGTATGCAATTTGCTTTTCAGTTAAGTGCTTATATTGTCCACATGCTAAATGATTGGCCTACAGCAATTGAAGATGTTATCAACACTTTTCAAAATCAACAAATACCTAATGTTACCAAAGAAATGCAATTATGGATTATGCTGGAAGTGCTACAAGCCATACCAGAAGAAGTACAAATAATTATTATGTTTAAGTATTTATTACAAATTTTTAATAAAGTTTTCTTCATTTTTAGATGCAAGCCATATATACTTCAGTTAAACGTAGTACCCTTCGGGGAGAGGTAGCCAAGCGTGCTCCTTTAGTTATGGAGACTACAGAGACATATTTACAAATGCAATTAGATAGAGAATGGGACGCAGATGCTTACGGTAATATGACTAAAGCAGTGAAGTGTGCATCTACATGGGTTAAGTAAGTTATTGTTTGATTTTGTATCGAAATATTTTAAATTAATGAAATTCACTCCTTTTAGAAATATAGGCTTTTCGATAGAAAATTGTCAAAACATCACGGCTTTGCTATTAAAAATGGTGAACAAATGTTATTGGCCTTGCGTACAGGATCCTGATGGTGATGGTTGCATGTCGGCCGATGAAAACGATTTGGCCGAAGTTTGCCTCAAGACTTTGCTTTATATTATCATACAACCCGATTGTCATTTGTACCCAATTACAGCTTCTATCCTTATAAAAATGTTCCTTGATTCTTTGTGCGACATAACCAAAATGGAATGGAAGCCAGATAATAATAACGAGGATATTGTGTCCAGCATTTACACACTATTTGTCTCGGCTGTAGAACGCCATTCTACGCTGCTCTTGACTGGTATAACCACTTCAGATCCGGAATTGTCATCGTTATGTTCACGTTTAGTGAACGAAATTTTGCAGTGCACAGATAAACCCGGCATTTATCCGGTGGAGGAATCTTGCAGTAGTATGGCATTGGGGTTCTGGTATTTATTACAAGATGAAGTTTTCGCCATTGCATATGAAGCAGAACGTTTTAAATGCTGGGAATATATCAGGCCGTTATACGCCCATCTAACTCGTATATTGGTAAGAAAAGCAGAACAACCCGACGAGAATTCAATCGATAAATGGACTTCCGATGATTTGGAGACTTTCCGTTGTTACAGACAAGATATATCTGATACCTTTGTAGGTGGAGATAAAACAAATATTGAAAAAATGGACATAATATTTATCCATCTCCTTTTTAGATGTATTGCTATGAGGTCTTACGCAATGATATTTTAGATATTTTGTCTACGGTTTTAGACGAAACCATCGCTCAGTTGCAAACAAATCCCACCTTGTGGACAAAGCTTGAAGCTTGTATTTATGCTTTTCAATCAGTAGCTGAACATTTCGACGGCGATGAAACAAAACAAATACCAAAACTGATGCGTGTACTCAATGAAATACCTTATGAAAAAATGAATGAAAAGTTATTGGGTACCGCTCTTGAAACTGTTGGTTCTTATTGCCAGTGGCTCAAGGACAATCCAATATATATACCTTCAGCTATTCAGCTGTTAGTGCGCGGCTTGAGTTCGCCAATGTCAGCTCAAGCTACTCTAGGTTTAAAGGAGCTTTGTCGTGATTGCCAACTTCAAATGAAGCCGTACGCAGAATTTTTATTAAATGAGTGTCAAGCCGTTCTAACCTCTGGCCAAATGAAAAATTCAGATTGTGTACGTTTGATGTTTAGTATAGGAAAGTTAATGAGCTTGTTAACATCTGATAAAATACCTAGTTATTTGGATATCATTGTAAGCCCATGTTTTGAGGAGTTAACAGCTATATGCCAGGCTGAAACAGTAAGTCATTTATTTAATTTGAGTTTTTAATAATGCGCTTTATATGCAAAATTTGTTTTAGAAAACACCTCAAGCTCGGATACGAACTATATTTCGTTTAAATATGATATCGACTTTATTCTCATCACTGAATACTGATCTTGATGATGATGATCAGATTGAAGATTTACAAAATGTTCAACCAGTTCTCATAGTAATGCAAAAGACAATGCCAATTTTTCGTAGAATTGCCGAACTCTGGGTTGAAGAACTAGACGTTTTAGAAGTAAGTTTAGAACCATAAGATTTTTGATGGACGCTTTAGAAGCGAATTTAGACTCACCAGATTTTTGGTGGCTGCTTATATATTACTAATTAACCTCAAAGATTCTGTAGAATATTTTGTTGATAAATAACTGAATCACTTATATAGAAGATCACCCATAAAAAAGCTTTAAGAAGACCATGCATTATGGTAACACGCCTAACTAAAATATTTCATGACTTTTCAGACTGCTTGCTCGGCTCTTAAGCATGCCATTGTTAATTTGAAATCTAGTTTTAAACCCATGCTGCAAGATCTTTGTTACTTTATAGTAGCCATTTTTCAAACTAGATGTTGTGCTCCAACTCTGGAAATATCAAAAACCGTAAGTTAATAATTAATTGAATGCAAAATATCTTTTTTTAGTCTCGCAATTTCGTCTCAACCAGCACTAAATCATGCCTTAAATACTATGCTGTTTATTTATTTATTTATTCATTTTCTTAAGGCCATAGTTATATTTTATAAAGACGAAGGCTGTAAATCATTAATGCAAAGATTACTGGTGGAATTTGTTTCGCATAGTTTCAAACTATTTGAGGTAAGCTAGAGAAAATCCAATACATGATTTTATTTTATTTTACTGATAAAAAGAAATCTTCAGAAGTACAACATTCATCTTTATATAGCTTATTAATAATTTTTATTGTTGCAAACTGTAGTCAACGCCGGAAAATGGTTTTTCAAACATAGCGGAAACCATAGAAATGTTCTATGCATGCCTGCTGCAAATAGTCAAAAAAATACCTCAGTCTCTTGATGATAAGGCTATCGCTTACGACCGTTTGATCTTTTATGCTCTGAAGGCCATGACTCTACCGGAAAATGGACCAATACGTACCAGTATTCAGTTCTTATCACATTTTGTCATGCAATCACGTAATTATCCCCAAATGACTGTGGCCGTGCTAACGGCCGGTGAAGAAATTTTAAAAACGGCTGTTGTGTGTGTGGCTTGTGTTACGCCACGCCAACAAGTGGAAAAGTTTGCCGATATATTTCTGAGCGTTAATAAAAAATATCCCGCAGAATTAGCCATATGGCTAAGAAATATTATGCTTCAATCACCGAATTTCCCAACAAATCTTGTAGATGAAGCTGAGAAAAGTAGATTCATAACCCAGATAATAAGGTAGGTAAACAACAAACATTTGTAAAAAATGAAATAACTTATACAAATGCATTTTACTTCGTTATTAGGGAAAAAGTGAATAAGCGATTACTTCAGCAGCATATAACGGAATTTGCTATTAAGGCACGTGGACTATCGGATAAATTTCAATAAATTATTTTCCCCTTTTTTCTGTTTATCTGACAACTTCTTTCATATACAGCTCAACACTATTCTTTAATATTTGATAGATTTGGTATTAACCCACAATAGTGAAAATAATTATTGAAATTAATTTTGTTTCATTTTAGTTTAAGCAAATTACACTGTGAAAATAGAGCAATTTAATTTTTTTTATTTTTTTACTTAATATGATCTTACTTTAACATAGTATTAAGTACATAAAATAGATATTAGTTTTTCTATTCATGTGCACCATCATACTTCGTATCGTAAGTGTAGAAAAAACAAAACTGTAAACTATTTGCTTTGCATTTTTTTTTAGCAATTTAAAGAAAACAAGTTTTTTAAAAGCAAACTATGTGTATTTGAAAACCTATAAGAATGTGATATCAACTGCTTAAAATAAAAGGTCAAATTTTTAGGTGTAATCTAAACTACTAATGAAAAAACATTTGCTTTTAAGGAAGCCTTATGTGTCAAATAAAATTTTCTGGAAAAAGAAGCTATTTTTCTTCAAAACACATACAACAGAAAGTTTGAATTATTCTGTAAAATTGTTTAGGCGAATGCGCAATCCATAAAATCTTTGACTTTATTTCTCCCGAGTAAACTATTAGATTATAAATATTTTTTTACTTTAATCTTAATGTGAAGTGTCGATATGTCGACTTATAGGAGGTTATTATTCATAAATTGAGCGGTAAATTTATTATAAATAAATTATTTAAAAAAGAATATTTAAATAAGCTAAAAGATGGTGTCACATTTATGTGACGATATGTCCCCTATTATAATTTGTTTCCACGATTTAATTCATTTAAATCAAAACTAATGTAATCAAAATTTATATAACTTACTTTTTGCTTTTCAACCTGTTGCGATTCGCATTCTAGTCTCCAAGCCACTACATGATACGACATCCACCAATTTTAATGTAGCACGACCTAACTTAGCTTAGCGTTTTCTAATTTAAGGCTGCCATATAACTGACGTTATTGAGTAAATTCCATCGTAATTTTCACGTAGGGTCTTACAACTGTGGAATATCGATTTGGCGAACTAAGTAGTGGGCTTTTCTTAAAACTGATTTCGAGTAACTTTAAAGGGGAACTAAAAGAATATGTTGTGATGAAGCGCATATATTTGATATAATTAGAGATACAAAGACTACAAAGCTTCTTGCTTCCTTTCTCTTATAGTCTATTTTTCAGACCTTGGACGGAAAAGATTGAGAGATGACGAAAAAAATTAGCTTAGAAAAGTATTTTTTGTCAGTTTCCAGCCTTAACTTTCTATGACGTTCTTGAACTAACGGCCTAAATTGCAGTGAAAATAGTCCAAAGTTTTTATCAACGTATAATGCCTGGAAAATCCTAATAAATTTCACGGAAGAGTCGTTAAATATCAGTTCTTTTTATTGGACAATGTAAGGATCGGACGTCGTTGACCATCCTTCAGCTATATTAGGGGAAAATATATATGAAGCTATTAAAGCAAAAGGAGCGAATCGTGACATTACAATTCGTATCGCACAAAGCGAGCCGACAGCCATTTCAAACAATTCAGATACTGAAATATTGCAACAAATAGGAGCAGCTGAAGTGCGTTCCGTCAACATTACTCGTTTATTAGACGAAGGAGTCTTACATACAAAATTATGGGTTGTAGATAATAAGCATTTTTATCTGGGAAGTGTGAATATGGATTGGAGATCTTTGACCCAAGGCAAAGAATGAAAGCTTCTTACATTTACTCAGATTTAGTTTCAGCAGATTCAAAGAGCACCATGCAACAAAATTATCCAAATCACCTTGAAGCTGATGTGATTGGGATTCAACAGAGAAGGAAGAAAACAGTTTCACATCATCAGCATACATTACGATCTGGCTGGAATTACCCACCGATGGGAGATCGTTAATGTATAAACTAAATAAAATGGGACCTAAGTACTTCCTTGAGGTACGCTAGACGTAACGGGGAAATCATCCGAGGTGATGAAGTTAAACAAAACCCTGAAGGATCTATTGTGCAGATAAGAGCTTATCCATTTCACTAAGTAGGGTGGCTTGGAGTTTAAAGATAAGTAGTCTATGGTTAACCATATCAAATGCTTTTCCCTTTCCTTCAAGATGAAAAGCATACTCAGTTGATGATAGTATTTATGATAAAATTTTGGAAGGAAATGAACATAGAACAGAGAACACGTTCTGAATGATTGTCAAGGGTTGTAAGTATGTTAATAGGTTTTGTTCGAAATAAATAAATTTTTTTTTTTTGCCTTCTGAGAACATTTGTATTACTACTGTGCATATATTCTCATTTACCAGTAAAGGGAGAAAATGTCTTGAAAATTAATGGAAAAGCAATTAGTAAAGAAATACATACAAACAATCAAATAAACAATGAAATGGAAAATTTTATGTTAACAAACACTTGACTAAGCTGAAATTGAAGGCTCATACAGGTCACATAAAACCTGTTGTGATACGCACTTACCTAATTTAATCGACCACTCTTCAGGATATATATTGCAATTTTTATGTATTGACATGAAGTGGTTAGTGTTAGTTACTCCATTTAAAGTGAATCCAGTTTTTTGCATATTTTTGTTTAAAGTTTACTTTTAGCAGACACTTGTCAAGTGAAACTGTTGCAGTACATTTTAAAATTAAGATTATCCAAAAATTCGGAAATGTTTAAAAATTAGGTAATTAGTCAATATTGATGTCCGATATGGGTACTTGTTAAATGATTTGATCGATTTCAGTCGTGCATAGGATTGTAAAAATATTGTCATCTCATTTCTAATGCTTACGACATACGCAGAGGGAAAGAACTCCGTAAAGATTTTAAGTTGTGAAAATTGAAAGAAAAAACTGAAACATTTTTTCTTACTTAATATTACTTTGTTTTTTTAGCTAGCCAACATTCAAATATATATTATCAGAGAATTTCCGAGTTGCTGCGTAAATGTTATGAGCTCAATACGTCAGGTATATAACAAACATCCAAATGACGGCCTGGTTTTTCAAACTGAAAAAGTTATTATTTAAGTACAAATTTTTTGACATGTTTCGATGAAATTCAATACAACATCGTATATATAAAACATTGTACCAATTGCAACGGAACGACGAAAGCTTCTGTCACAAGTACAAGAATGTGCAGAGCCAGATTTTTACGGTTTTCCGCACCATCCTTGGGGTACCGTTATAGGCGCGCTGCCAATTGTTTTAAATGGCTGGCTCCTCAGTAAGCCTACACCATTATATACATAAATACAATTTTGCAATTATAGTAATTTAATATATGCATCATGCACTGCATTCACAAACATTAATATAATATAATAGTAATAATAATAATAATAATATAATAATAATAATGAGACATAGTGATATAAAATAATATATGATAACACGTAATAAATAAAAAGCCCCGCTAATAAATACATATACATAAAGAAGTAAAAATTAATGTGCTGACATCTGCAAAAGAAAAAGAAATATTGTGATTAATAAATTTTATATACAAAGATGATCACAAACTTACCATTGGCCTATGAAAGTATCGCATACTGCTGAAACGCGATGAGTGGAGGTGCAGAAGGAAGCATGCTTTTTGATCTAAAATAAAATAAAAAGAAATGAATAAATTATATATAATAATAAGTAACGATAAATGCAAACTTACCTTTAGCATGTAGCGAATCTTCATCTATATGAGGAGGCGACCGGATAGCTGGATTTGACTGTGCGAGCGGACGACCACGACTACAAAATGTTGATACATTTTTAACTCTTTTTTGGATCCAGTTTTTTTCAATCAGCAGCAAATGTATGATAGAGCCTAGGAGGTTAGTCCGGTGACTTCTTCCATTGCGGCAGGAGCCTTTTTCCTTGAAGAAGTCAAGCTGCTTTAGAATTGTCGCCTGGGTGCGCTTGCCGATGTTGCGTTCAACCATGTGGAACTTTATAATTTCCAAATAGATGCCCAAGGCTTCCAAGAAAACATTGAGCACATCAAGCCTCGGAAATTCTGGTTCCAGATTTTTATTGGCCAGGATTTCGTCGTGTTCCTGTATATTGGCGACTAGCATGCCATCAATTCCGGAGCATGCTTCTTCCTTCGTTATCGTTAGGTCGTTTAGGCATGCTTGACATTTTAGCTGCTCACGGATGTATTGGGCTATTCCATAGCCTGTGAGCAGCCTGAAGTATTCCGCCTCGTTAAGGGTTAGACGTTTGGCAGCTACTTTGTACGGCACCCCATTCAAATCGTAATGCAGGAACTCATCTTCGGCCTGGGCTGGTGTCTTATAATTCAGGTTTTTAATGAGCTCGTAATCTTTATCCGTTCTTGATCCGCCTCCCCAAAATTCTAATTGCTGTTTCATTAGTCGGGTGCCCAGCTTCATCACATCTTCCACCGGTCTCGTTCTCTTTCTCCTGCCTGGCGCCATCTTGCAGAAAAATTTCTGCAAGAGGTCTTGGCTAACCCTGTAGGCGTGTATAGTTATGCCAGGGTAAGCCTCCAGCAGGTCGTTCATTATGATGATAAAATTGTTGATGGTGTTCAAGGCAGGCTCAGTTACCTGGTATGTTTCGAAGTTAGCCATTAAAGAGGTTTTCACTTTCGCCAGCACCGCCTTCTGCCCTTCCCATTGGGCGCTGCATATCTTGCCTCTGTGTACGACTTCGCAGAATTCAGTTAGAGAAGCGATAACTCTGTATGTGCGTAAGTCTTTTTCTGCAGAAATAATTTTTCTCCGCACAGCGACGTTTAAGTTTGCCACTGTTGCGGGAGTTAATAGCTGCATACACCTTTTCATTGATTGTCCAGAAGTGCTGATTAAGCATGCACCTCTTCTCTTCAAGTGATTTGAAGTGCTGAGTTTTCTCGCATGCGCCCTAGTGACGACGGAAGTGTCGAACAGTCTGCTGTTTATCATCAGCCAGTAAAAGCTGTACATTAGATGTATGTAGTCGACCAGATAGTATATTGTATAAATGGTGCCGTCCGCTCGCTTTCGTTTATAAATTCCGTTTCGAAACTTTGCCAATGTGTGCAGGTTTGGGTTGCTCCTGTCGCAGACTACTGCTTTAACTTTCAGGCCGGCCTCCTCTACGATACCTAAGCATCTGTCCAGTTCGTCTGGAGCTCCGTGGTAGGCGGTTAAGGCGATGGCGCTGATCAATATGTTGAAGCTTGTCAGCAGGCTGCGTACAGCGAAGAAGAGTACTGTGTGGTACTCTTCCGTTGTTGTAATTTTTCCGCTGTTGTTGTAGCCGCAACCGTACAATAGATCCTCCTTCCGAGAATATCTCATCTTGCCGCTGGTGTACACTTCGTCGAAGTGTACCTGCACAACCTTGTCGTGAGGACTTAACCTCCCTACGACGTCCCGCAGCGCCTCGATATCCACTGTGAATTTCAGTTCCCGGCGTTCAGCTGGTTCAACAATTCCGCTATTCTCCGTCTGCGCCTCCACGTTCGCTGCGTTATCAGCTTCTTGCACTTTGTGGCCACTTCCATTTTGGTCTGCAGCGGAAGCAAGGCGTCTCATCTTTTCCCCCCGCGCTGCTTCCGCCGATGTGGTTGGTCCCTCATCGTACATCCGATTATATCTGCACCTGGAATTATATCTACGCCTATCGGGGCTTCTTACGGCTAATGCTGATCTCTGAGTGTCCTGATCTGTATGTTCCTCCGTCTTTATATTCATTTGTTCGTCCGTCTGTACGTCCATTTGTACGTCAGTCTTTACGTCCATTTGTACGTCAGTCTGTACGTCCTTAGTTTCAACAAAACCCAAAAGTTCGTCGCTTACAGAGCGATTACTTTCAATTTCTAGCTTAATCGTGGTTGGATCAGAAATTTCTGGTTCAATAATGACGATTGGTTCAGAAATTTCTGGTTCAATCATGACCATTGGTTCAGAAATTTCTATTGGTTCTACCTGGCACTTTAGTATGTCGTTCGAAATTCTATTAGCAGCATGCTGCAAACCTAACTCTATCGCGTACCACAAGTACGCGACCAGTCTCGTGCGTCGCCTTCCCTTAGGATTTTTGTTAAGGCGCACGAGACTTGCCCTGATTCTGTTATGTTTTAAGCAGACATCTTCTACCGTTATTGTCGTGTTCGTTGTAACAGTTAACTCGTCAGCTAATATCTTCCCGTTTTTTTTCCAATTTATACGTTCGTTGTTCAGACCCCAGAACTGTGGATACTTTCTTAAAGCCTGACTAAATAGGACATCAGAGATAACCATTTTTATAAATATAAAATTTAAGTATAATAATAATAATAAGAATAATCTAAATAATAGAAAAGGATATATATCCTGAAAAGAAGGAAAAAAATAACATTTTATAAATTCTTGCTATTCTGTTTTTATTATTATTTAGATTATATGCAATTTTTGTCCATAAAAATGGAAAATATATAAAACCTAAAAATTGTTGTCTTTTCTTAAGTGGCTTGGTAATTTAACACTAAACGTACCAGTATTGAAAAAGCGTCGATGACATTTTTCGCTTTTTTCTTGTATGCCCTTAATGCATTCAACTGTAGAATAAAATGCATGAAAATTGTTTTTACAGGACCGGTGCCAGTATTTTAAATTGTTTCTAAGCATCCATCATCGTTTACCAAATAAGCCAAAGTTTTAAGTTTCACTGCATAAGCAAATTGCGAATAAAGAATTTGACATCCTTTGAGCTTTTAAGTCCTTTATTTATTGAGAAATACATGCTTGGTCACATTTCTGAACATAAAATATTTATCTGAAAAAACTACACTTCTCTCGGATCTTTTTTATATTTACATAAGTTAACAAAGAATCATTTGTTGATCGTTTCAGGACGTAGCGAGGGCGGAACATGACAACAACACTCCAACACCTGAACTGCCGATCGAAGTGTGGGATAAGATTTTTAGTCGATCTATTGCAAGTAAATGCCGTCTGCGAACATTGGCGTGAACGTGCAGCAAGACACATCTAAATCGAAGTTGGTCATTAGCGACGACAACTTCGAAGACATCAACCAGCTTGTTAGGCAAAGAGGTGCGAAATATAAAAATGTGAAAATAGCTGTTCAATGGAACGACGATCTCTTAGAAGCTATAACATTAATGAACATTTTCCGACATGTAGGATGCGATATTGTTTACCTAGATGTTTGTGATCTCTTATCTCTCTCAAGGCTTTACGGTCTTCTGCCGGAATTGAAGGAAATTGTCTTATCAGGTACAGAGATACCAAGAGGCATGCGTTCACCTGTAACCTTAAACCTGTAACCTTAAAGTAACCTTAATGCCAACATAGATGTGCTGCGAACGCATGCAACCTAGTTGCTTTGGCTCCGGCTCATTTATGGTAGGGCATATTTTTCAAGTACATATCCACAATTAGAAGACACTCGCTTCCTAGAAACATTCCTAAATTTCACTCAGTTGACGGTTCTAGATCTAAGATACGTTTATCCTGAGCAAGTCGTAAGAGCTATTTTAGAAAATCTTTCAGAAAACAATCAGCTTAACACAATAGGTTTGAAAGAACGTCAAGAAACTGGCTTGTTAGAGCTGATTGTACGAAAATGGTCCAACTCTTTACAATGTATCGACTATATTTGCTATAAAGGTACAGATACACCTGCTAAAATAACACAATCTGCAAAAGATAAATTTCGCACCTCACGGTTAACTGGACCAAGAAATGGTTATGAATGGACCAATCAAGATATTCAGTGTGCAATTCCAAGTGCCAATAACAAAATAACCGAATTATATATGGTGGCGTGTTCAAGGGTACAACTATTTTGCGAGCTTAACTCAGCTCCATTTCCCGCCAGAGTCAAAAATAAGTTATGAAGAAATGAGTTACATTTTTCGCCATCTTATAAGCAAATGCTAGAGAATTATGTAATATGTTTCGCTAGGATTCTTTTGAGAATTTAATATAATTCCTTTAAATACAGATAAAAAGGAGATGAAGAAGAAATTAAAAAAAAAAATTGTAAGAAGTGCAATATTAGTTGTAATGCCACGAGCAAGATGCAAACAAATTGTTAAAATTACTTTAGAGGAGACCAGGATAGTAGTAAAGCAGATTATGGCAGATCCAATGCATTTCAATTCTTCGCTACCAGGTATATAAAAGTATTAATAATTTGAGAAAAAAAACCCAATTCACTGACAATAAAGACTGTAATGTGTTGCTTAAATGCAATCACACCACACACAAGTGTTAATATAATGTTTTAACCCTGAAACGAATAGGAGATGAGCGCAAATTAACAAAAAAAAAAAAAAAAAAAAGCTTGCAGGCGATTCCTTAACCCGTATTCAAATTGTTTGTTGCAATCTTAGAGGAAAACGTAAAATGGAAATAAGATAAAATATTTTCGAAAACCATCTAAGCCTCACTAATTGTAATTTGAATACGATAACATCGTTCTTTTACCGTAATTATGAATTTATTATCTTTTAACTTTCTATAGCAGAGAGAAATTCTTAAAATTTTTATTAATGACTTCTTCGATATGCTGAAAAACGAAAAAAAACGACCTTATTTTTTTAAATTCAATTTATTAAATTCATATTTTTTACATCTTTTTACAATAACTTCAAATTATAATTAATAATTTCAAATTATAACTAAATTAAACATAAATTTTAAATTAATATTAACTATAAACTAAATAATATTGGCGGCATCCTTTGTCTTTGTTTCTATTTAGTTTTTATTTCTTTTCTTTTTTTTATTAATTTTTAAAAGGAACACTTCAGAGCTATCATCAACCTCTGAAGGTATCCTTTAAAGTAAACGATTTAGAGTCTAATTTTAAACCAAGATTTATTTGCTGTGTACTTTTTTCCAAACTACAATTAATTTGGTTCCTTATGGGCTAATAATTTGGTTTCTTATGGGCTAATGTTTTTAAGAACCACAGGCTCATTGCTATTGTTTCAATATTTTCAATAATGCGTAACAAAGTGACATGCGTTCAAAATTCAGCATAATTCTTTTGTAAAAAGAACAACGAAAATTATGTCGTACTTCAACTGGCTGAGTATTACATTGTGAAATGCAATACGATGCCAGGCGCCCCAATTAAAATAATTATTGATTACTATAAATAGCTTTACCAGAAATAAAGGAAGCCAATTTTTATCACAGCAATTCACACAATTCAAGTTAAACAATACCACAACTACAGGCAAACCTGTTTTTGTGCGGTAGATAGGGACCGCAGAAAAAAAATAGCACAAAAAAAAATATTCAAAAACTTCATAAATAGCTATAAGAAATAATTTTTCACAGCATATTAAAGAACATTTTTTTTATGCGGTAGAGAGGGACCGCATAAAAAAAGTCTCACTTAGAAAATATGTCAAAGCTTTACGAAATAGCAAGAAAGTGCTTAAATAATTAAATTACACATTGAAACATTTAAAAAAATTTTAATTTCTAATTTTAAACAAGGAGAAATTTTCAAAATGTACATAATTCAATATGTATATGTATGTGAAAATTTCAGGTTTTGAAAGTGGGATGAGGAACTAGACGGTTCTAAATCCTTCAGCTGATTGAAATATTGTTTAGCTTTCTCCTTAATTAAATCCCCGTCGATGGGGATTCGGTTTCGGGTCGAGTCGTTAATCCAAAATATGAGGGCCTTTTCCGTTTTCTCTATTAAAATATTTCTAGAATATGATATTCTTTTACCAC